TCACAACTAACAAGCTCTCTAAACATTTTCATAAATAAGGTGATAAATAATAATAATAATAATAATAATAATAATAATAATAATAATTAAATCTACATATTCATCCCCATCCCCATCCTATAAAAAATTACCAAAATTTGAAAACTGAATTACACCACACCCCACGAAACTATCCTACTCTACCCACCCCATACATCTCCAGAAAATTTTCAAAATTTGAAAACTAGAGATTACATCCTATTCCATCCCCATCTCATCCCACCCCATTCCCTGATAGAAAAATCTTCACAAATTAAAAATAGTCTCTCTCTCACTACCCCCATTGCAGAAAAATTTTAAGAAATTGTGGTGGTGGTAGTGGTGCATTGTAGATGACCAGATTTGTAACAAATTGTCTTATTTGTGACTAGATTTATTATTTATTACCATACTTGTGTTATATGTGACTATTTGAGACCAAATTTATCTTTGGTGTAACTGTCTTTGACCATATAATTTATGACTGTATGTAATCAAGTCATTGGCTTATGTTATCTATGAGTACGTGAGATCAAATTTATCTACAGTATGACTAGCTTTGACCAAATTTATTTTCATTATGACTGTCTATGTTCAGGTCAATCTTAACTATGACGATATATTATCAAGTTACAATCGATTACAATTAACACAAAATTGATCACAATCAGACACAATAAATTGGTTATAGATGGTCACCACAAATAAATCAGCACACATCACAGGCCAGCAGCATAATCCACAACCATTAACCACCACCATCACCTCCAATGCACCATCATTACCACCTTCAACTCAAGTTCACGACCATAAATACTACATTAACTTACCTGTGTTATCTGTAATTAATTGTGACCAACTTTATCTTCAATGTGATTGTATGTGACCAAGTTGGTCTAATTTGTGACTGTATGTAACTAAATCACAATAGTTTCAGTTAAACTCAAATCTAGTCACATACAACCACAATGAGGATAGACTTGGTCACACTCGATTGTCGCCAACACCACCCCCACACCGTCAAGGACCAAACGCGCACCATCTCCCCATAACTACATACACCACCAGCAAAAACCATCGCCGCCTACACCACCAACAACAATATATCAAAAAAATCATCGACGCTATATGCCAAAAACCAACAACCATCCCCAAACATTTTCAAAGAAGAAAAATGAAAAATAATATCCATCCTTCCAAACCATGACGACGACAAGTATTTTTGCATTATTCTCAGATTACAAAACTCTAACCATTTTCAAAGAGTAAATCAAAAAGTTAATCTCAAACCACGAGTAGTGACGATGCAACAAAGCATCGCTTCGCATGTCAATTCTTCCCCTCCGAGTACAACGGTAACGAAAAGATGTGGTAGAGAGTGACGTGGAGAAAAAAGATAGAGAGAAGGAAGAGAGTGAAAATCGACCACCAAAAAACCATCATAGCTACGAACAACCACCAACCACAACGCAAAATGACCCATAGCATCCCTAGAAGATCATATTAGAAACTACCCGCAAAGAAACCACCACATCACAATTGCTCGTCTTGTTGCGCGCCCAACATGTGACGTTATGCTGTGCACACCACTGAAGAGAAAGAGTAGTGGAGCTGGGAATGAACTACTAAAAGAGATGGAGAGGAGCTGTCGAAGAGAGGAAGAGAAGAAGAAAGAGAATGGTAAATGGAGAAGAGAGAGAAGACGAGAAAATCATTTAGGGATTTTGTGGTGGGGCGGCATAGGGTGGGATTGCGTGGGTATGTAAATTAATTTAATTTTATAATTTTAATTAATTGGGGTATGAGTTTGATGAATTTTAAAAAATTACAAATCTAAATAAATTTCATGGATTTGAATAGATTTTTACAAATCCCACCAGAATATCATCAAATATGGTAGAATTTCAAAAGATTTGATTATATGTATTTTAAAGCTTGGAATCCATCCAAATCTTTTAAAATTCCGCTTTTAAGTATCAACAAAATCATTATAAAATCACTAGTTATTGAGAATACCTAAATTTTAAAAGATTTCTTTGAATTTCATTAAAATCCATTGAAATTACAACTGACACACCTAAATTTAGAATAATTTTTAAAATCAATCACAATTTCAATTGAGTGCACAACCTCAATTTGCAATTTTTGTTTTAATTTCAGAAGCTGTAATTTACAAATTACATCAAAGAAAAAATTGTTATTATTTTTAAAATTAAAATCTAATTTTAATTCATATCAAAGTGCTTATATAATTTTAAAAAAAAAGTTTAAAAATGACGTGATAAGTGCCTTGGTTTATAGTATTGGTTTCATAGTTATATCCGTATGTTAAGAAACAATCTCATTAGGGAGGTTTTAGTTAAATATTAGAATTTTTAATATATTTTCAAAAGTTGATAAAAGTTGATAAATTATGTAGTTACAAATTTTGATAAAAACTATGAATTTTAACAAAATGTGTAGTTAAAATGAATTTTAAAGAAAATAAATTATAAAAGACTAAAGTTCCATTTGATTCCCATTTTTCTTAAAATGCATTTTTCTCCATCTTTTCTTCAATCACACATTCTTTATTAAAATAATATTATACGTAAATAAAAAAAATTCTTCACTTTTCATCCACACATTCTCCATCAATTTACTATTTAAAAACTCATTTTTCTAGAAAAATGGGTGTCAAACACCCTCTAAATATATTTACACCATAGTTATAGATACCACAATACACATGTAAAATTATCCTTTTAATAACTATACTATGCCCTTGTTTGATTCCCATTATTTGGAAAAAATTAATTCTTCTACAATGTTTTAACATCATTTCAACCACACATTTTTTAATAAAATAATATTACACGCAAATCCAAAATATTTCCTTATTTTTTAACCATACATTTTCCATCAATACACTGTTCAAAAATTTATTTTTCCTCTCAAAACGAGGCTCAAACAAGGGCTATATTTCAATTGCGTGGAAAGTTCATAACCTTTACACGTTATGATATTTATGTCTCAAAATGTTTTCATCATATTCTTACTCTCAAATAAACATAAATTATTTTTGATAATGTTTTCTCTTTAAAATTTTTCTTAAGATAGAGTTAAAAGGTCCATTTGCCCGTTGCATCTTTCAATAATGTTCATAGAAATCCCGCAAGCCTATGGGTTCATTATACAAGTAATAATAGTGATGAGAGAGTGATCGTCTCATGGGATATAAAGCTCAATTCTAGTATATTTAATATATTTAAATTCATGATTGTAGCAAAAGATGATTGGTTCATACCTAACTATGTTTTATAACTTCGAAAGCTATAAAAATTGGTTTTAAATCAAATGTGGATGAACTTATTGAATTTTTGACTCCACTGATCAGCTCCTAGTTCTAATTCTCTACCAATGATTATTAACTCAAATCATGCAATTGTGAAGATCGACAATTTCACTTTTATTTACTATTCTTTTTCAAGATATAATAAACCTGTGATTACCACGAGACAATCATATTCATAATCCGAGTTCATATGATAAACATGCATTGACGTTTGGAATTATTGCACATGATCGCACGCGCCATTAATACTCTTCCTAGTATTTATTATGCGTGTGTTCCACAAAAAGTGTTCCACCTACCGTGAATTTTTTCAATATTAAAACAATGTAATAATGCATATCAATGGAATCACAATGCAAAAGTTAAGCTGAAAACACATAGTCTTGAATTAAAAACTAAGAATCAAATAGCTTTGTCGTCCATCAAATACTAGAAAATTTAGCATAACATATTAATGTAAGATTTCCAAAGAAAATAAAGGAAAGTTATCACCCGAATGATTAAACTATTAAGAAAATCTAAAATTCTTCGATTAAAGCCTTCAATTCCGAATCCAAGGATGAATTCTTCATTTTTCATGTAAGTTATCTTTATTTTCTCCCAAAATTCGACTCTCAATATGATGAAAGATAGGTCTTTCACGTCGTGGACAGCTTATGACATAAATAAGATGCCAAAAGATTGCGTACCTAAAGTTTTCAAAACAAATTTTTTTCCTGAATTGAACCATGTTTAAGCATGGTTCATTTGGTGTGTAAATACAATACACGTGATTTGTTCTAAAATGTAACTTTTGTAACCTTACGCACGCAAGGTCTACCCCCATGCTTATGCATAGTACAAATTGATTCCTGAACTTTCTCACGTATGTGTTTTGATCATTTTCCAAATTTTCTCATCCCATTGATTTCTCTTCAATTCCAGCTGACTCTTGATATTCTCAAATCTTCGTTTTGCAACCAAACTCAACTTTTGAAGTATTGCATTTTAGTCCCCAAACTTTGTATTTGATTCGATTGAACCCATTTTTCTCACTTATTTTCCTTCTTCCCGCCTCTTTCATCGATTGTTACCTACAAACAATATATACGTAAAATCAAGCCATATTTCATATAATTCATTACTAATCAAATTTAACGGTTTAAATAAGTGTATTTTACTTATCAAATAAACAAAATAAAAGGCGATTAACGATTACCCATTGATTTCTCTTCAATTCCAGCTGACTCTTGATATTCTCAAATCTTCGTTTTGCAACCAAACTCAACTTTTGAAGTATTGCATTTTAGTCCCCAAACTTTGTATTTGATTCGATTGAACCCATTTTTCTCACTTATTTTCCTTCTTCCCGCCTCTTTCATCGATTGTTACCTACAAACAATATATACGTAAAATCAAGCCATATTTCATATAATTCATTACTAATCAAATTTAACGGTTTAAATAAGTGTATTTTACTTATCAAATAAACAAAATAAAAGGCGATTAACGATTAATTCTCATTTTAAAATATGTTAATAATATTTTTGGACGAAAATCATGACAATATTTTCTGATTAATAAAATATTAAAAAAAGATTGTGAATAAAAAAATAATTAAGGTTATAAATATGATAATGAATGAACCGGCCTTTGTCTCCTCATCGTTAATTTGTACGGACCGATTTGGATACAGGTGGGCTGGACAAACCCGCCACTTGTTTCCTTTTCGAAGGAAGGTTTGTTTATCTTTCCAAACGAATTGAAAGAGGGTTTATTCCCATAAAATCAACACAAAAAATCACTGTTTTTCCAGGGAAATATTATTAGCCTCAAGTAACAATAAGTTTCCTATAAATCTACGGTATGCTTTTCTATCCCCCTAAGTTAATCGATTTGCTATTTTTTTGGGGTCTTGGAACGCCGATAAAGCAAATATTAGGTTTTCCGTTTACTGTTCATTAGATTTCTAAGTTGAATTTATACTTAAATTTGGCGCGTCTTGCAGTTTGCGGAAACGTTAGGGTTCTCGAAAATTGTTTGGGTAATTGGGACGCCGATAAATCGAAGGGTTTCTATTTAATTATATCAGGGGGTGTTTATGGAAGAGTCAAAACATAAATCTAGAAGCGAAGGTTATGAAAAAGAAGAATCGAAGAGGAGTCACGGTGACGGTGATGATAGAGCTCGTGGAAAAGAGAGAAATGGTGAGAGGCAAAGAGAGAAGGGGAGGGAGAGGGAGAAGAGTGTTGATGATAAATATAGGGACAAAGAAAAGCACAAGGAGAGTCACAAAGAGAAGGACCGGAAAAAGGACAGAGATAAGGCCAAATACAGAGAGAGGGATAGGGAAGATCGAGAGAGGGAAAGGGAGAGGGAGAAGGAAAAGCGGAGGGAAAGAGAGAGAGCGCGGGAGGAAAGAGAGAGGAAGAAGGAAAGGGAGAGAGAAAGAGAGAGGGAGAGGGAGAGGGAGAGGGAGGAGAGGGATCAAGAAAGAGAAAGAGAAAGGAGGGAGAGATACAGGGAAGATAGGGAGAGGGAGGAGAAGGAGAGGGAGAAAACAAGAGAGCGGGGGAGACGCCGTGAAATGGTTCGGGCACACAGTAGTGGTGATGATGATGATGATTTTATGGACCGTGAGAGAAAAAGGCGTAGGAGAGAGGATGATAATAAGAACAAGGATCGCGAGCTAAGCATCAAGTCCAATAGGCGCAAGAATGATCGTGAAGGCAGTAGCCCTCCAAAACGGGGAGACGCAGACTCAACAGGCAGGAAAGAGAAGAGTTGGGAAGAAGAGTTGGCTGAAGAACAAGTGAGATTGGATGAGGAGATGGAAAAGAGGAGGAGGAGAGTACAGGAATGGCAGGAACTACGAAGGAAGGAGAAATCTGAGAGGGAAAAACTTGGAATTACCACAAATGTGGATGAACCAAAGTCTGGTAAGACATGGACCCTGGAAGGGGAATCTGATGAAGAAGAAGCTGGCTTTGAGGGGAAAACTGACATGGATGTTGACGAGTCTGGAGCTGCCAAGCCTATGGATGAGGATGGGAATGGCTTGTCCCTTGACTTCAAGAATGAGTTTGCATCTGCTTTTGAGAATGGAGGTGGCAATGCTGTTGAGGATGATGAAATTGATCCATTAGATGCTTTCATGGATTCTATGGTATTGCCTGAAGTTGAGAAGCTGAATGACCTTGCCCCTTCTGCTTCCACAGATACACGTCAAATGGTTGATAAATATAGTGAGCTCAATGGGGAACATCCTAAAAAGAAAGGTGCTAGTAAATTGATGGGAAGAATCATCCCTGGGGAAAATTCTGATTCAGATTCTGGGGATGTTGAGAACGATGAAGATACTCTGGAGGATGAAGATGATGAAGAGTTCATGAAACGGGTGAAGAAAACGAAAGTTGAGAAACTATCAATTGTTGATCATTCTAAAATCGAATATCCTCCCTTCCGTAAGAATTTCTATATTGAAGTTAAGGAAATCTTGAGAATGACTTCTCAAGAGTTGTCTGCTTATAGGAAAGAACTGGAACTGAAGATACATGGAAAGGATGTTCCAAAGCCTGTCAAGACCTGGCATCAGACTGGATTAACAACAAAAATATTGGAGACAATAAAGAAGCTAAATTATGAAAAGCCTATGCCGATTCAAGCACAGGCGCTGCCAGTAATTATGAGTGGTCGAGACTGCATTGGTATTGCAAAGACTGGCTCGGGCAAAACTCTAGCATTTGTGTTGCCAATGTTGAGACATATAAAGGACCAGCCCCCGTTGATGCCTGGTGACGGTCCTATTGGGCTTATAATGGCTCCTACAAGAGAACTTGTCCAGCAAATCCACAGTGACATCAAGAAATTTACGAAGGTCATGGGTCTCAGCTGTGTGCCTGTATATGGAGGTTCTGGTGTTGCCCAGCAGATTAGTGACTTGAAACGAGGGACTGAGATTGTTGTTTGTACCCCTGGTAGGATGATTGATATACTTTGTACCAGTGCTGGGAAGATTACGAATCTGCGTCGGGTCACTTACTTGGTCATGGATGAAGCTGATCGAATGTTTGATATGGGTTTTGAACCTCAGATCACAAGAATTGTCCAAAATACACGACCAGATCGTCAAACTGTACTCTTTTCTGCCACTTTCCCTCGTCAAGTTGAAATTCTGGCTCGCAAAGTGTTGGACAAACCTGTCGAGATACAGGTAGGTGGGAGGAGTGTTGTTAACAAGGACATAAACCAATTGGTTGAGTTAAGACCAGAAAGTGATAGGTTCCTCAGACTGTTAGAATTATTGGGAGAATGGTATGAGAAGGGAAAAATATTGATATTTGTTCACACACAGGAGAAATGTGATGCTTTATTCAGAGATTTACTTAGGCATGGATATCCGTGCCTCTCACTTCACGGGGCAAAGGATCAGACTGACCGTGAATCCACTATATCTGATTTCAAAGCTAATGTGTGCAATTTACTGATTGCAACAAGTGTTGCTGCAAGAGGTTTGGACGTAAAAGAGCTCGAATTAGTTATCAACTTTGATGTTCCGAATCATTATGAGGACTATGTTCATCGTGTTGGTCGGACCGGTCGAGCTGGTCGGAAAGGCTGTGCTATTACATTTATATCTGAGGAAGAAGCAAGATATGCACCAGATCTTCTGAAAGCCCTTGAATTATCTGAGCAAGTTATTCCCGCTGACTTGAAAGCTCTGGCTGATGGCTTTATGGCGAAGGTGAATCAGGGGCTTGAGCAGGCTCATGGGACTGGTTATGGTGGTAGTGGTTTTAAGTTCAATGAAGAGGAGGATGAAGTTAGGAGAGCCGCAAAGAAAGCACAGGCAAAAGAATATGGATTTGAAGAGGATAAATCAGATTCAGAAGATGAAGATGAAGGAATCAGAAAGGCAGGAGGGGAAATTTCTCACCAAGCTGTCCTTGCTCAGGCTGCTGCTTTAGCTGCTGCCTCCAAAGTGAGTGCGGCCTCTACTATGACACCAATCTCAGCTGCTCAGCTAAATCCCAATTGTGCATTACCTGTTTCCTTGCCTGGTGTACTTGGTTTAACAATACCAGGTATAGCCACAGCTGTCCCAGGGACTGGACTACCAGTTGGCAGTGGCGATGCGGCAGCTAGGGCAGCGGCACTGGCAGCTGCCATGAATTTGCAGCATAACTTAGCAAAGATTCGGGCTGATGCTATGCCTGAACATTATGAGGCAGAATTGGAGATAAATGATTTTCCACAAAATGCTCGTTGGAAGGTGACCCACAAGGAAACTTTAGGTCCAATCTCTGAATGGACTGGGGCTGCCATCACAACTAGAGGTCAGTATTATGCACCTGGCAGGATTCCAGGACCTGGGGAACGGAAGCTGTATTTGTTCATTGAGGGTCCTACTGAGCAATCTGTCAAGAGGGCAAAAGCTGAACTTAAACGTGCCTTGGAGGAAATCACAATGCAAGCTTCATCACTTCCTAGTTCAGCGCAACCTGGCCGATATTCGGTTCTTTAATCGCAAGTCTTGCATTATTAGATGCTGATTAGTATCATTTTTTGCTTTATTGTACTGCAGTTTGGGCATATTATTACCAATTTCATTATGTGTTAGATGTCTTATTTTCCAGATCCTTTATGAGAATGAGACTGGTCATTTGTTTCTTATAGACAGAGACGCTCATTGGAATTTTGTTGTGCACACGGTATCTGGAGGCTATTGAATGCTCGGAGTAATCTGCTGAGGTTAATCTGCTTTCACCTCTTATATTAGTCATATATTCATATCAATTCAAACCTACACACACACAAACATGAAACGTGTATTTATTAGATAGCAGAAGATGGAAATGGATCCAGAGCAGACTTGTTAAGGGTACAAGAGCAATTCTCGCAGATGCTGACCCCCAAAATCAGAGCTATGCTGGCATGTTTGTATCTCTTCTTGGCATCATCCTATTCTATACTGTCGTTCTCATGTTCCCCAATTTTGTTCAGAAGGTTCCAAATTAATTTGTTTTCACTTTTGTTTGCATGGTTTATTGAATTTGATGTTATTTGTGTAACTGAGTAATTGGGTGTTAAATCTTATTTTTGTTTTCCTAATTGGGCCTTTTGAATTAATTTTTCTGTTTATTATTCATAGGTTTATCATTTATATGTGAAACTTGTTCTTCATATATCTTCTTAATGATATTTCTTTTTTCTTATATAATCGAATGGTGAAGCCTGGTCTAGCGACTGATTAAAAAAGAATAATATACTGCTAGATGCCCAGATGGCAAAGCTTAGTGACTGTGATACTGGTGAAACTGAAAACCCGAGGTACATTTCGTAACAAGTAGACCGTACTTGAAATTGAAAAAAGCTGTCTCTGACATGCATAATATCTTATTTGTAGGCAAAGGGAGAAGGCTCCAAATCATGGTAAGTTACTACTTTCCATTTGAAATAATACTCTGTGCACTGTATGCACGATTATCAACTGTCTCCCCTTAATGTTGATACCAGAAAATTAACAAAAGAAAGATTGCTGCTAGGTTCTTAATCTGCAAATGAAGTGCATTTTCTCTTCTTCTTGACCTATGCTTGAAACATTCATTTCATAGTTCCCTTCCAATAGAAAATTTACTTGTTGAGTGGTTTTATATGAATAATATTATCTAGCACCTGTAGTACTGAACACCAGTTTAGGTGTCAGTATATCGTAGGTCTTATTAAATGGGTCATAATTCCTTATATTTAGTCCTTGTTTGATCTCCATTATTTTCAAAATATATTTTTCTTTCTTTTTTTTAACCATACTTTCTTTAATAAAATAAATTACATATCCAAATATTTTTCTTATATTTTAACCTTACATTCTCCATCAGTCAATTATTTTAAAATACATTCATAGTCAAAACTGGGGCTCAAACAGGTGCTTAATTGAACTTATAATTTAATGTGACTAGTGCTACTATCTGGAGTTGTGTTAACACCAGTTTTGCTAAATAGCATTACTCTTTTCATATCGAACAAAATAGTACATTATTGGTCGCTTATACTTCAAATATATATCTCTAGTTTTTCTCTTCATGGCGACAATCTACAAAATGGGGAATGAAATCCAGTTGTGTCTACTAGAAGTGCCTTAACTGACTAATTTGATTGTGATTTAAGCTCTTGTTTGGACTCCATTAAAATTAAATTTTGGGGAAAAAAGTATTTTGGAATGGTGATTTTTTTAAGAATCTGTGGTTAAAAAGGAAGAAAATGTTATGAATGTACGTGCCTTAACTGACTAATTTGATTGTGGTTTAAGCCCTTGTTTGGACTCCATTAAAATTAAATTTTGGGGAAAAAAGTATTTTGGAATGGTGATTTTTTTAAGAATGTGTGGTTAAAAACGAAGAAAATGTTATGAATGTATGTGTATTATTATTTTATTGGAGAATGTGTAATTGAAAAGAAGAGTGCAAAACGTATTTTGAATAAAATATAGCCCAAACAGGGTGTAAATGCAGTCACGCAATATGCTTAGAAGGAAAGCACGAGGAGCAGAAAGGGGTTATGGCATGTTTGGTATAATGGATTAGACTACGTTGAGTGGTGTTATGGAAGAAAAAATAAAGTTAAAAGTTTGTTTGATTGTAACCTTGAAAGGTAATTCAGTGGTCGGACCTTAGGTTTGCTCTTCAATGATTATCAGTTCGAGTCCCCTCAGAGCCATTGAAGTGAGTATTTCACTATAAATTTCAGGGTCCCATTGAATTAGTCAAAGTGCGCGTAAGTTAATCTAAACACCCACTATCATAAATAAAAAAATAAATAAAGAAAGCTTTTTGATTGTAAATTTAGTATAATTCAATAGTATGTACCAAATATGATCTACCAGCTTGTACTTTGTTTTTTTTTTTTTTTTATGACAGGGGAACCCGCAATCAATATCCTTCAGGTGTGCACTGAGTAAACCCTCAGGCTGACGTAATAGCCTACAAACTACGCTAACCAGGTAAATCGCACTAGGCAAGTCCGGTGTGACAAACTCGATTGAAAAAATGCTGGTAGGGAAAATCGAATTCATGACCAAAAGTCTTCGCGCTTACCTATTTCACCAACTCGACCACCCCATAAGGGGCATTTGTACCTTGTTTTATGTTTATGCAATCCTCTTTTGTTTATTTTTATGGAGCTGGGTTTGGTTTGGAAGAGCATAATATCTTGATTTGCGTAGGATGTTAAGATTCAATGCCTAAATTGCTGAAGGAAATATCTCATGTTAAAATCTGTGAAATACCAACGCATGATGCATTAAAGTCCGGATGGACTCATCCAACTCGTCTATCTCGCCCGATCCATTGAGTTGGCGGTTTGGTGGTGTTGACATACAACTTTGACTGTAAAATTATTTTGGCAGGGCTAAAATATTAATTTTAATAAATTTAAAAGAAGGAATTATCTCAAATCATTCTTGATCTACCAATCAGATTGTGAAATATAATTTAGTAAGGGTAAAATATAAAGTTTTAATTAAATTTAAAAAGAAAAAAGTACCACGCATTCTTGATCTACCACTTTGGATCTAAAATTATTTTAGTCTATGTTTGGTCTTCAATTTTTAGAATTGGTTTTTTTTTTTTTAATTTATTTTCAACCAGTTTATTGGATCTATAACTTTTATTAATTTTTCAATTAAAATTTACCAAAATATAATATTCAACTAAGTCAAGTACGTGCCTATGCACATTAGAAAGCATGAAAAATATAGGAAATTGGGCCCCCGTTTGACCCCTTTTTTTTGTAAATGAAAATGGGTAGAATAAAATTTTTTTGAAAATTGAGTGGTTGAAAATAGTAGACAATAAAATAAAATGGAATGGAATGAAATGTAATGAGGGCCAAACGTGGGCTTTGATATTTGCCTGAATTTCAAATTCTTCATCTTTATTTTGGCAAGGACTAAAGTCACTTTTTTGACTGAGAACATTTTATTTGAAGTGAAATAAAAAAAAGAAATTTTAAAATAATAATATTCTTTGTTGGGAAAAAAAAGATGACAGAAACTAACTACAATATTATATTAAATAAGTGAACAAGGTGAACAAAACGCCCGTCTAGCTCAGTCGGTAGAGCGCAAGGCTCTTAACCTTGTGGTCGTGGGTTCGAGCCCCACGGTGGGCGTCTTTAATTTTATCTATTTTTTGCTCTCTTCTCTTTCCACTTTCCAATCGTATTTTTGGGGCCTATTAAAAGTTAGTCCACTACTGTTTTGGACAATCTCAATCAGGGCCGTTCTTCTAGTTTTCGGGCCAGCTATTAGTTTCTTGTTCTTTAGGGCCTGTTTGGGCCCGATTTTTTCACCCAAAAAATTGATTTTTTAATCGTTATTTTACTATTTCAACTGTCATATTTGACTTTTTCTCTCACAGGTGGACCCCACTTTTTTCCTAACGGTCAAAAAATTAATTCTCAAAATTACTCCCAAACAGGCTCTTAATCGAAAAACTAGGACCAGTCTGTATTTCCCCTTAAATGTTAGGATCTGAAAAATTAGGCCGCCTTCTCATTTATTGATATTTTCTGGTTTTTATTCATGTGAGAGAGAACTGTCTCAATGGATCAAAATCAACAAGGGTTTTTAGATTACAATTCTAGTTAGCTTTTCAATTGAATTTCAATTCAAAAATAACAACTATACGTCTATTCCACGAAAATTCAGGAAATATCAAAAAATCACAATTCTGGTTGATTTTCGAACAAGTTTGTAAGCACCAATTTTTTCCTTTGTTTAATCTCGTAGTTCCTTAAAAGAATTCATTTTTAAGTTGCATTTTTCATTTAGGTTAGAAATTTCAACTTTCCCTAGAGCCGTTATTCTTCGAATATACTGCTAAGATTTAGAACATCGTCAAGGCTACTGTTACCGCAACTTCTCTAAAAAATGGTAGATTCCCAATAATTTATTTCATCTAGCCCGTCTTCAAGGCAACAACACTAGCCTCGGGCACATCCTTCAAAAGCAGAACATTAAAGACCATCGAATGGCATGGACTATAGTAAGAAATATGACCAATTTAGTAGTTCAATCATAGCGAAACAACACAAATCCGACCGTCTAAAATCCAATCCATCAATTTACAACGTGGGTAATGGACGTTTATCATTTATCATACGCAAATATTAGCGGTATATAGAAACGTCAAATTTACAGTAAAAAATAACTTTAAACTAATAAGATGGCTCTAACTAAATTCAGGGAGTGTCTCAATAATATTTAAAATTAGAAAAAGATTACCCTTCATTGATTGTCTCCATAATTTTTGTAAATAGGAGATTGCTATCGTATATTGTCATATACGGTAAAACCTCGATGGATAAATGTTCGATAAATTAACAATCTTGCTTACATAATAAAATTCTTTGATCCGACTTGGACAAGTATAATAAATAAAAAAATGCACTAAATGTAAAAGATAATAATTTTCAAAGATCCTTTAAGACCAAGAGAATATATAAAATAATAACTACTTAAATATATAAAAATTCATACAAATACAAATTAATTAATTTTTAATTTGACAACATTTTTTTTTCAATTCCTTTTTTCCCCCCTCAAAATATGCATCTAAGTCTTTTACTTTTTCTTTACACTCAAATTAAACTTAACTTCTTCCCTATTTTTTTGCAATACATCTACTGCATTGGGTAAAGTCATTTGTACATTCATTTATTACACTATTGTTGACATTTGCTGTATAGTCAATAAATAATTGGTTGAAAAAACTATTTTTTTGAACTGTCCAATTGAATATGCTATATGACAGGTTAATCATGATGCACAAAAAGCATGATTGTACTACATTTGGTATTTTATTTTATTTTTCATTTTGTACAAAAAAAAAATTATTTAAAGTTATGACTGTTGAAATGTCTCTTTTATAGAAATAGCTAGTAAAACACAACTATCACCCGAATCATGATCTTTACGTGTATTGAGTACCCGTTGAATGATATCTTCATTAGTAGTAGATTCCATCATAACGTTATTTTTGCTAGAATAGTTTAAAAGATGCTTGAAATCCATTGCATTTCTATAGCATATATGTATTATGGCAATATATAATACAAGTTAAAAAAAAAATCTATATTAATAAATTTTCATTTATCCATAAATTAATAATCTCTTTAAATTAATAATTTTTCTTGATCCCTATATTATAATTTTATAGAAGTTTCATTATACTTTCTTAAATTTGCTCTTTTATAAAATTTGAAACTATTATAAGTGGTAAGTTTATTAGTGAACGAAAATTATACCCTTGCAATCTTGGAAATTCTTACAGTTGTATCCCTGATTCTTCTTATAAATATAGGAATCTAGTTTTTAATAAAATAAACACATACCTATTGACTTCTTTCTATTTTCTTCTCTTTTCATAATACGTTATCGACATGAAAGTTTAATTCTTCAAAGTTTAGTAAACGTGGTAATCTTTTTTAAATATAATTATTTATCACGTGTATCAAAATTAATTTTATAATATGTAATACGTTTATCAATTCTTGCTCATCTATCAATGTGAATATTTTTATAAACGTAAATTCTATCTCGTCCATCAATTCTACCAAATTTCTACATATGCATTAAACTTGTCATGTGAAGAATTTGGTTCCAACTCAGTTAACATGCATCTTGCCATTGTCATGAATTCTGTCGCCGTATTGATTGCATTTTCCAATTTGCTTTTGTACCTAGAAATCAATTTACTCACCTGGAAGTCAAGCATAATTGTGTGTGTAAATGTGTATGCATAACTAATTATTTTTCGGCAAAATGAATTATATTATTATTATTATTATTATTATTATTATTATTATTATTATTATTATTATTATTATGACTGAAGTCAAATTTGCCTTTCTTATGGAATTCACGTTAAATTATGCCTTCATTATGAAATTCACGTTATGTTTGGAATTTTCCTTTTTCTAATTCTACATTTAAGTAAACATAGATGCTTACTTTTTAAATTGATGATTTATCATATTGTTGTATACCGGGTACCACAACATTATAATTAATATTTTAAAAAATATTAATTGTATATCTATTTATTATAAAAAGTTTATTTTTGCTCCTAAAATAACAAAATATTATAATTAATATTTTTGAAACATATTACTTGCTCGTGAAGAGCATGAATTATAATTTTGAATATTCGAGAAGAACATTGACATGTTACCCTTGAAGAAGCAATAGTAAATAAACGTACTTCCTGAAGTACCACATGTTTCAAAGAACATATTATTTAATATTAGTGTTTGTCCATGAAGGAAAATACGCAACTTATGTCATGTTGATATTGACTACTTGATTATGTATTATATAATATTTATTCATATTTTTCGAAACTAATTGTATTTTCTTTATTGTATAGTTAATCGAATGTCAAATATCACAAAATTTGAATTTGCTGCAATTGATATATTTGGCAAAAATTATTTGTTATAAGTACTTAATGCTGATATTCATCTTGTCTCAAAAGATTTGAGAGAAATAATAAAAGAAAAACAAAGAATACCTACAAGATCGTGCAAAAGTAGTCATCTTCCTTCGTCATATTTTCACGATGGATTGAAAATTGAATATCTTACTACTAAAGATCTACGGATTCTTTGAAAGAACTAACTGAAAGATTTGATCATCGGAGGATTATAGTTCTCTCCAAAACTCGCTAAGAGTGGATGTATCTTCGTTTGCAAAACTTCAAAACTATTAGCAAGTACAATTTTGAATTATTCAGAATATGTTCAATATTAACTTTGTGTGAAAAATAAATCATTGATAAGATATGTTGGAGAAGCGTTTTCCACCTTTCACTCCTCAAATGTACTTCTGCAACAACAATATCTTGAGCATAGTTCGAAAAGATACTAAAAACTTATATCTTGTTTACCTGTGGCTAAACAAAATAATGAAATACTAATGAAAAATCATGAATTACGTCTAACTAGTTCTATACTATTACCTAAAGCAAACGCAATATCTAGACAAGGACGCGAACGTAGAATAAATCGTGGACGAAATAATCAACCAATCTATCGACAATAATACAACAGTTTTAAAAAGCACCAAACAAATGAAAGTAGCACATACAAAAAGAAGTATGAAGAAAATTGCTTTAGATGTGGAATGAAAGAGCATTGGTCACTTATTTATCGTATAGTAAAATCTCTTGTAGATCTTTACAAAAATTCAATCGAGGGAAAGGGAAAAATGGAAACAAATTTTATTGATCATGATGGTCCCATTGATGTGATTCATTTGGATGTCTTTGATTTCTTTATTGATCCAAATGAGAATAACGACCAATTAATTGGGGGTGGTGTGATGAAATATATAGATTAACTTACTTTCTATGCCTCTTATATTCCCTTTATTTTAGAAATTTAATTTGAAATATATTTTTACTTTTCGCAAAAAATTTGAAATTTTATTATGCATCGTTAATTTCATAATATTAAATTATGTTTACCTTTTTAAATTTAAATTCAAGTTTTTTTTTTAAATATATCTATTTTGTTATTTTTATATATTCGTGATGGATTGTCAAGATACCTACTTGATTGATAAATGTAACTTCACATACTATTCTTCAAGACAAAATATTTTTTGGATTTAACATTAACAAAAAATAATACTAATACGATATCAAGTACATCGAATATCGTTGAAAACTCTAGAAGAGCTTTTATTATTTTATCAAATAATAAAAAAAAATATTGACGATGCACTTTATTCTAGCAAATCCAGAATAAATTTGTTTAATTTCAAATATACCCACTGCAATGGATATCATATTGAAACAATACAAGAAAATAATGTTGAATATTTTTGCGTAATTTCTTTTGTATATGGTTATAAGCAGATAAAAGAAAAACTCCATGCACTCACATCTAATATGTACTTTACATTTATGAAATTGGTTGAATCAAATATTGTTACAAACCAGAGTTCATTGACTTAAAATTTTTTATATTTTGACATGACCGACTTTGACATTCACGAGTTATAATGATACTTTGAATAATAAATAACTCACATATCCTTTAAAGAATCAAAAGATTCTTCTACTTAATAATTATCCATGTATAGTTTGTTCACAAGACAAGTTAGTCATTAGACCTTCAACTATAAAAGTCAATATTAAATCATCAACTTTCTTGGGAAGAATTCATGTAGATATATGCGAGCCAATACACCCACCATGTCAATCATTTCATTTTTTTATAGTATTAATTGATTTTTTTACTAGATAATCACATGTTTGCCTACTTTTTCACTAAGAATGTGGCGTTTACTAGACTACTTGTTCAAATCATAAAATTACTGGCTCAATTCTCCGATTATTCAATCAAAACTATTCGTCTTGACTATGCTAGTGAATTTAGATCACAAAGATTTGATAAATATTGTATATCAAACATCAGGATCTGCTTTAGTGGATATGCAGATACATGTTATCTTTCTTACCCACAAAAAATTAAATCACAAACATGATGTGTTTATACGTGGAGAAACAGCTATATCATGGAAATCTATGAAGTAATCCTTGACAGCAACATTCTCAAATCATTTTGAAATTATTTCAATCTATAAAGCAGATCGAGAATGTGTATGGTTGAGGAACATGAACCATCATATATATGTGTCATGAAGGTTAATTTCAACAAAAGATAGTCCAACAATTTTTTATGAAGACAATGCGGCTTGTATTGTACAACTCAAATGAGGTCATATCAAATGTGACAGAACAAAGATATTTCTCTAAAATTCTTTCATACACACGAGTTTCATGATAGTAATGACATCGATGTCCAATAAATTCGCTCAAATGACAATGTGGGGATCTATTCACAAGAGAACAACCGACATCTACATTCAAAAAATTGTTTGTTGAGATTGGAATGTATCGATTCAAAAATTTTCAATAATCAACTCAAGGGTAGTATTTATACTGTTTTTCATTCGCTTATGTTTTATCTCATCGAATTTTCCTAACAATGTTTTAATAAGGCAAGATTTATTTTTAATACTACAAAAATAACTGGGCTTTTTTCCTTCGTTTGATGTTTTTGTCCTATTACATTTTTATCAAACAAAGTTTTAGGGGGTGTTTGATGGCATTTTTATGTAAAAATGCAATTTAAAATAGAAAATTGATGTGAAATGTGTGGTTGAGAAATAAGAAAATATTTTTTATTTACGTGTAATATTATTTTAATAAAGAATGTGCGGTTGAAAAAAAGAGAGAGAAAAATGCATTTTGAAAAAATGGCTACCAAATGGAGCCTTAATGAGACATGTATTTTATAATCTATCATTTAATAGGAGTGTTGTAAATAATAAGTTTATTAGAAAATGATAATTGTATCCTTGCGACTTTAAAAATTATCTTTATATTCCTAATTCTTTCCTATAAATATGTGACTCTAGTTTTTAATAAAACAGAAACAAATCTATTGACTTCTCTATCATCTCTTTTAATAAAATGCACTAGCTATTAAAGGTAATTATTTTATATTTAAAAGAAGCCAATAAATTGACCAGGCAAATTTTCAACAATTCAAATGGCAATTCAGTGGCAATGTCGTAAAATTGAAGCTAACACGTGTCAAATTATTAACCTGATGTTCATGGTCTAAAACCCCTAGCTGTACCTTTCGTTTAAACCCCTCATTCTGTGCCATTAAAATTCAAAACCCTCGTGTAATTTCGTGCGCCGCCATGACAGTGCTCAGCCGTCTGAGAACGGTGGTGCAGCCACTTGTATTTCGACTTAGTCTCAACAAGAGCCAGCGAGCCTACGGGTCGGCGGCTGCAGCTCAGCTGGACTACGATTACTATAATGATGAAGATGAGGAACCGCAGGGAAAGGAGAACCGGAGAGCAATGCCGGAGGCAACGCCGCTGGAGGAGGGGTGGGACACAGTGGGGAGGGGAGCGCAGTGGGTGATCATGGGAGATCCAATGGCGAGGCAACACATGTACGCCGAGAGGCTCTCGAAGATTTTAGACGTCCCTCACATTTCCATGGGCAATCTCGTTCGTCAAGAATTCCACCCTCACTCTTCCCTCTACAAACAGGTGTACTTCAATTTTTTCCTTTACCGTTATCCTTTTTAAAAATGGCTTGAATGTTAAAGAAATCAAGAAGTGTGTTTGATTGTTTTTGGACGGTGAGTAAAAGGAATTGAATTATGAGCAAATGAATACAAAAAAAATTCTTGAAGATCGAAGAAAATTGAAGGCTTTGGGTCGATTCTTCTCTTGGTTGACTCAGAAGATGAACCTAAGCGCACGTCTGGTTAAGCTTAAAATGTTTCTTATTAGTGGCTAAATAAGCAAGTTCGAAAATAATTAATGTTTGAGGTTTCTAAATTCAGAAATGTGATTACTTTTGGTTGGCTCGGAATTTGGAAGCCAATAGCTAAATGAAAGTACTCTTTGAACTTTAACTGAACAAGTTCGTGCCATTTTCCTTAGTTAACGTATGGGATTAGCCTGCCTTATAGAGAAGTTCATCTCCTCCTGATCGAGCCTTACTGGCTGACACCGAGAAAAAATAAATAAATGAAAAACCATTGGTTTATCAAATTACTGTCTTCCAGGAAAAAGATTCGTTAAAAGACACCTGACCTCTTCAGTATGTATCCAGGCCTCCTTTTTTGTAGCATAATCTTTTTTTTCTTGACATTTTTCATTGTCTTTTTCTTTCTATTTGATCTTGGTACAGATTGCTGGAGCAGTGAACCAAGGGAAGTTAGTCTCAGAGGATGTAATTTTTGGTCTGTTGTCTAAGAAATTGGAAGAATGTTACTGCAGAGGTGAAACTGGCTTCGTTTTGGATGGAATTCCACGAACACAGATTCAAGCTGTAAGTTTTTAGTTCCTATACAAATTTTGCCGAATTTATTTCTTCCCTCTTTATCTAGTGCAGCTTTATTCTAGACCTTATCAACACATTCCTCTTATTTTTTACTTGATAGATGATAGATTTCACAATCTTCATATGAAGAATATCAAAATGGCCAAGACTTTAAATGATATTTGGCAGTCGTGAGTGTTTCAGATGTTATAAATTGAGTTGAAGTTCTTTTTGCAGTCTGTTAAGTTCAATTTCAAGCTCCTGTTTCATGTTATCAAAATTTAAGCCTCAGTTTGGCTACCAATTTATAAGTTCTGTCAAGGACAAACATCAATTTCAACTTTACATTCATAAATAATATTCATTTATTATCCACACCTTCTTTAGGATCCACTACTATTCTTCTTTATAAATTGGTTTATAAATCTGTCAAACGGAGGCAAACATTTTTATCCAGTTTCGTCCATGCACATCTGAATTTGACAGTTGTCTGTGCTTGTAGTATTGAATGTCTGTTGTCCAAATTTTGACTGCTATTGCATAAACCTATTGTTCCGATACTAAAGGAAAAGAAGTTAAAATTCTGTAATAAGATTCTGTGAAGAACTTCGATCTATATTGGTTTCATATGATGCAGGTATTTTGAATATTTTGTTTGTTTATGTTAATTTTTTGGTGTTTACAGGAGATCCTGGATCAGATTTCTAATATAGACTTAGTGCTGAATCTCAAGTGCACAGATGATTGCTTGGTGAAGAAATCACCAGGGAATGGAATCTACACTCCTCCAGAACACCACTGCATGGCTTGCTCAGGATTTGATCCAAGCTTTCAGCCGCAGAATGATCCTCTGAGATCTTCCAATGCTGACACGGATACTGCCTGGAAGGAGAAATTCCGTGTGAATGCAGAGCAGGTAAGTCCATAACAGGGTTTAAACTTAACATTTACTACCTGTGTCTGATTTTTGGAGAAAATTCATTGAATTTTGATATAGTTTGGAGAAGCATTCCTGATTAATTTGTTGTGATTCAATGTTCTACTCTATGTGAACTTTAATATGATTATAATTCATAATTCATTATTTATGCAAATTAAACCCTAATTTTGCATAATCAATATTCCAAGACTTGGAACAAGATGACTTTCACAATTTCAGGACTTTCTAGAATAGAAATCAATTGTAGATGAAAAATCTTGCCTTTAGGTGTTTTCATACATTCTTGACAGGGAGAAAACTGTATATACATTGGGCAGAGAGAGGACCAAAAGCAGTCATTTAGAAATATCTACTCAACTGACCAATAGGGATTTATCACTTAATGTTATTAGTCATAATTATCTTTTAATTATGGGCCACAAAATAAAGAAATTGTGGTTCTAGCAAAATGGCTTTCATATAAATACATTTTAGTTTGGGAGTCGAGGGCTAAAAAAATTTCAAGCCTGGCTAATTTGTTCAAAAAAAAAAAAAATTAAATGGGCTGAAGACTGGACGGGGCACCCCTATATCCGCACCTGTTGGGAGTGCTCTTTTTAGTTTTATCAATGATATGCTGAACATGCTCATTCTGGATTTCAAAATTGCCCCCATTCAGTTAGTAGAATGTCAATTTATTGTATATCCAATGAGAGATAGGCTGTACCATGGACATGATTTTCGTGTAGAATATTTGCAATACATGTTCTAAATTTCTGCCAATCATTTCCGACTTATATGTCAATTCTGGTTCATTTTTTTCTTCTCTTCAGTTGATTCTGTCTTGAGGAGTGGAAATTCTTACATTTCGTTTTTTTTGGCTGTGAACTGTAAAATTTATTTTCTCATCTCAACAGTTTAACCCCAACATGCTAATAGGGTACATTTTGTTTTCTTCAGAGGAAACCCTTAGAAGAATATTACAAGAAACAATGTAAGCTTGTCGACTTCCAAGTGAGCGATGCACCTGGCGACACCTGGCGAGGCCTATTAGGCGCGCTTCACCTTCAGGACACGAAGGATTTAGGTTCTGCTGTCTAGTCAACGCATAAATTGACTGCATGATTTTGGCCAATTTATTTTTCAGATTGTTTGAATTCTCATTTCGGTGTGGTAGTATTGCAAGGAATACGAGTGCATTAGAGTTTGTTGGAGTTTTGTAGTAAAATATATCTAATTTTGTTTCGAGAGATTCAAAAATTATATTTATTGGTTATTATGTGTAACAAGAGCGTACCGAGCATTATAAATAGAAAGATTTTTCTGTCTAGCCAAGCTACAATTATAGAAAATTCATGTACAAAATGGGTACAGAATACATACATGCAGGGTAGATGGGTTATTATTTACAATATTTTAATTTGGACCCCATGTGACTGTCTGTAACATTTCTATAGAAAATTGTTCTGTACAATTGGCTTTCCTCTTTTCTGTCTCCCTCATACCGATGCAACGGTTTTTGTGTTTTGCTTGTATGCACTTTTGCTGACATACAAAAGTATCTATCTACTCTGTCTCAAATTTATTTTCTTAAAAATAATGTTATGTCGCACCCGTGGTAGTGGAACACCAATTTAAATTGGCACACTTTATGAGTTCAATTAAATTGATTGTTTGATTTTATATTTAAATGAACTTATCGTTTAATGTCATCCATTTAGACTGATATTAAGCACTAATGGAATTGAGTAGTATTACTCTTTTCTTAATGGATTTCTAATTTTTTAACGTACTTTTTGAGGTAAGATTCGAGTAAGTAATGTATGTATATAGAGACGACAGCTAAAAGTAACTTTTTCCTCTCCAAATGTTCCAATATAAAGTTGGTTACAATAAGTTTATTTTTAAAGTAATTTTTTCATCCAATCAAAACAGATTTTTAATAGGTGGCTGGAGTGGCACATCGTTCATGTTTATAGGTAGAGATGGCAATTTACCTGCCCCTAATGGGGAAAAAAAAAACCCGCCCTTATGGGTTGAAGGGGTAGAGCAGGGCATAATTCCCTTCCTCGTCACGGGTCAAGGGGCGGGGCAAGAATCCGCCCCGTGAATATTTTAAAAAAAATAGTATTTTTTTTTATATTATTTTTTCGAGTGTTTCTTTTAATATTGATGTTAATTTGAACATTATTTGCTTTGAATTTGTATTTTATAATTTAATAGTATAACTCCAAATTTTGAAAATGTCTAATAAAAAAAATAAATTAAATTAAATGGGACAGTAAACGGGGCAAAAAATTGCCCCGAACCCACAGCGAGGCGGGGTTGGGGCCGCCTCACCCCGTTGCCATCACTATTTATAGGAACGCCCACAAAGTAACATCCTCAACATGTAGATGTTACAGTTGGGTAGGAATCTGATTCGAGATGCATTGTGGAGAATTCTAATCCCTATATTTGGAGAATAAAGACATAACATCTCATCCACTCGTCTGGAAGACATGTATTCAATATGATTTTAGGCTTTACCTAGTTCAACACGTTCTGCGCATCTGCTGTATCACTCGATTCCAAAGAACATCCTTAACAAAGTTCGAATCGATCGGGTTTAAGAAAAGGGACTCTTACAAGCTTGCAGTTAAGACAGGACTGGATCTACGATTTTCTGCCTGCCATCTTGGTGTGACTACCTTATAAAACATGATAAGCATTTCAAATCACAAATTTGACAAATACTAAGTAATTCGAAAACCCTTATAAAATAGAGTATAATAAGAGGATCCTACAAAAATGTGTGAATAATAAATATATTCGATTAGCTTAAATTATAATTTAAGCTTTCACAAACATGCATTAGTAACTAAGTAAACGTCTTCAACATGAATCTTAACTCATGTTTTGTTGGAACCAGCAATAAACAAAATGAAGCTTTAATTTTATGTTGTCATCTAATTTTTGGCATCTCGAGGCTTTAAAAGAAACAATCATTCTACACGTACATCAAATTTCACACATTTTTTCACAGCACATACATGCAAGTGGGTGGGATTCATGATTAAAATAATCGTGGACCCCACCTTCGTAAGTGGGTGTGAAAATTGCTGTGAAAAAACATGTACAAACAGCATTTTTCTAAAAGAAAACTGCATTGGACCAGACATATATTGACATTTTATAAACTTAATAGTGATTAAAGAAGCCATGCAGACCTGGAAGTAACCACCTCTTCACCCCCAACTTGATGAATGAGAAAGAACTTTGCTATTTTGTACATTAATTTTTGACACGTTATTTGATACTTGCATTGTTGTCAAGTGTCAATTGAATGGAAAAACTGTTTGAAATTTAAACTGTCCAACAGAGTAATATCACGTGGCAAAATATAAACTAAAGTGTACATGTAGCAATGTTCAATGAGAAATTATAATGAGAAAGGTTCACGATTCCCATCTAAAATGGATCAAAAAGAGCATATCCCTCAAGCATAGAGGGAACTGAAATTGCATTAAACTAATTGCTGTATCATACACTATTTCATTTAGCAAAAATCCTTTCAATCGTGATCGGCCTACAAGCGACTCGGCCAATATAAACACAAAGTTGTAAAAATTTTCTCCAATTTCACCATATGCCTCCGACATACCATCTTGAAGAGAATTTCTGCATCGTTGTACACGAAAAATAATTACAAAGTTTGGAACTATAACTAGAAAATACTGTCCAATTTGTGATGGATAAACGTGTTAAAAAAGAAGAATATGGTGCAGGCCAGAACTTCGAGGAGGATAAAGAAGGGACAACGAATGTCATGTTCAGATTCACACTTCTTAGTCATTAAATAAAAAAAAAATGAAAAAAAGAAAGGAGTTATACTTACACTGGTCCACAGTTAAAAAAAATTACACCCACTTCACATTTTATGATGATATAACATAATGGAAAATCATTGTTGTACACTCAGTACAGTAGCGTAACTATGAGAGATCAAATTACACTGATTTTCTTGCCTGGGGAAGTTTTAACTAGTTTTCTGGGAATCCTCTACGCTCTTACGTAATAGAGATATAACTTGAGCTGGATCAGAAGCGCCAAAAACCGAACTTCCTGCAACAATGCAGTTTGCTCCGGCAGAAGCTGCCATATCAATAGTTGAAGGTCCTAAACCACCATCCACCTGCAAAATAAAATCAAAGGCCACTCTTATTAAGAGCCTAGACAACAAGAAACAAAGTATTTTTCTTAATACTTTTGGTGTCAACTATATGAATCTTTATCCGCCACTTGTTTCATAGCGAAATCAACAAGAATACATTGGTGGTCACTAAATTTTTGAAGAAATTTCATGTTGGCATTGAACTTCATATTATCACATCGGCTTTTCCATTAGCCAAAGTAACAAGCATGGAGAGAATGATCAAGTTGTAATAAATGTTCAAGCATGGCGACCAATTTAGAACAAATAAGTTAATATGAAAAATTAAGGGACCAGCTGACCACCAATGTTCTTAACCCAAATCCTAAAAGCTTTACAGGTAAGACTAAAACACATAAAAAAAATGGACAACTATTTACCCTCATCATTACACTTCAAACGTGTGAGAATGCTTTTCACACTAGTATGCAACAAATTTCCAGTTACTCAGAGTCTTAGGTAAAATGGTTTTTCTTTGGAAGCCAGTTTGATCTCAGTTTTGTTGAGGCTGGGTAAAACTAATAACTGAAGAAACCACTATCATAAGGACAAATATTAACTCAATATCGAGAACAGTTATGAGACAGCTAACGATATCTAACCACGATAAGGCACCAGAACTCACCTCTATGTCTAGTGATGGATAATTCTTCCGCAGTGTACGCACCTGTAGTCCCATGGATGAATCATGAAATTTGTGCTAATAATAGAAACAGAGACAAGAAAAATAAATGCCAAAGAACAACATTTACGTGCCTTATCCATCATTTCTGGCATGAACTTCTGCCCACCAAATCCAGGTTCAACAGTCATGACAAGAACCAACTCCACAGGATTTTCATCTTCAAGCTGCAAGGCACAAAAGAAACAAATCATATGGGAGGCTTTGCAGAAAAGTATTTTACTTGTACCATTTTGGGATGTTAAGTACAATGGGTTGTGTACATATATCAAAGCAATAAGGACAACACACACTTCAAAATCAGACGATATGGAATATGTTCTTTCGAAGAAAAAAAATCCCAACAAAAAGAGGGAACAGCTTACAAGTGGATACAAGTCTTCAATAGGTGTTCCAGGCTTCAGAGAAACACCAGGTGTCATGCCCTTTGACTTAATCAGCTGCACGAGTTCTTTCCAATTATCTGCAAAGATTCTTAATTCATATGAATGGTGGGCTGAGCATGACATTCAAAGCAATGATAATTTAAAATCTAAAAAAACATGGTTTCACATTGGTAATGTCATTGTCTAATATAAATGGTGTGAAAGGGCAGCTAAAAGGGTAGAAGTCCATACAATCAATTTACCTTTTGAGGCTTCAATGTGAAAAGTAAAACCCGAAGCACCAGCTTTCCCTAATGGTTTGACGTAATCAAGAGGATTCGTAACCATGAGATGGCAATCCAAATATGCCCTGAAGAAACATTTACTCTTTTTCAATAACAAAAATACCAAGAAATAGCATGTTTGGTAGGGAGAATTGGATAGCACTAGACTAATAAAGAACAAAAAAAGTTAAAAATTTTGTTCATTTAACTGTCCAATTTTCTCCAATACTGAATGCCAAAGACGTTATAAAGGATTACAAAAGTTTGTAACTAGAGGAAGTAAGAAAGTTTTACTTTGTGTGCTTTCTCAGACTCTCAATAACAGGGGCACCAATGGTAAGATTTGGGACGAAGTGCCTATAAAATTCCGAAAGTGCAAAAGTACATAAAATTTATGAGTGAAAAAAAGTTAACGGTGTAAAATAATAAACTTATATGTAAAAAGCCTTTGTGTCTCCTTGTATCTGATCATCATTTGCAACACGCATGAAAATTATATAACCGGTGTCAACTATGCAACCTACCCATCCTGCAATGAACCAATACAAGTTTCAATTACATTTCAAAATCTTAAGTAGCTTCTCATGTTAAGTATGCAAAATTGAACTACACAATCGTGCAAAGATAAACTAGAACAGTGAGAGTAACAAGCATACATAAGCCTAACCAATATTGCAAGAAACTTGAGAGAAGGGTAAAGGTCAAACATCATAGCTATATGCTCTCCCCTTCTAGCCAAAAATTTGTACTACTACACCATACAACTTTTCCCGACTCTCAGAATTTTTGAGCTCGTCCTCATCTACTTCAAATCCATAGAAAGCAAAAGGAACAGTAAGGAAATATTTCAAAAAAAAAAAAAAAAAAAATCATTATTTAAGTGTACGTTACTGAAAATTGTTCACAAATGCATTAAAAACTTAATTAGAAAAAACATCGAACCATATAATTACAAACTATAGAGTCTGTAACTACATTGATGTGTAGGTATTGAATTTAATTATAGTTATCTACTAGAACAACAACTTAGAAAGAAATCCCCTCCCTCCTCCTGATGGAGATAAAGATAAAGATAGAAAGACAGATAAAGATAAAGATAGAAACAGAAGTTCAATAAGATTTTAATATCGAGTTTAATTTAAATTAGGTTTGTTTTGATTAGATTAGATTAGATTTAATAATGCGATAAAGTTATAGTTTATTAGAACCCTGTTTGACCCACATTCTTTAAAAAAAATTAAAATTAAAATTAAAATTAAAAATTAAAAAATGATTTGACATTATTTCAACTACACATTTTTCAATAAAATAATATTACAAGCAAATCCAAAAGTTTTTTTTATTTTTAAATCACACATTTCCTATCAATACACAATACAAAAATGCATTCTTATAGAAATAATGTGGCTCAAACAAGAGCTAGATATTCTTTTGATTTTAGTTTCTTAGTTTATAAATAGAGGACTTATTCATTGTTATTGATATCCTTGATTATATGAATAAAATTAATATCCTTTTTGCCTCAATTCTTCTCTTCTTTGATTCTCTTTCTTTTCGTGTTCGTTATCAAATTACTACACGTGTCAATAATTTGGTATTAGATCAAGTTCTTTTCCTTTCGCCAAACAAATCTCGTTCTCAAATCTAATAATCTAGTAACCTTACCTAACCAACGGTTTTCATCTAATACATACACACTGTTGTTTCCACCACCCATTCAAGCCCTATAACCATCTTCATACAAGACAATATTTGAGCAGCACAAGCATTCGTCTTGACAGAAGTTTTCCTCTTTTTAGTTAGTAAAAAAATATCTAAAATAAAAAGAAAAAAAGAAAAAAAAGCAGCCTATAGTGAGTTCATCTTTTACTTGCTTTTTTTAGTTTCTAAAAAAAAATGTTGCTGTTACATTCTGCTATTCACAGAAAATTTTGCTTCTGATTTCAAAAACCATTATCACGATCCACTATATCCAAAACCAAAACTCCAAAACCCATAGCCCAAGCTACAAAAAATTCCCCATATACCAGCTCAATCACAACCAGGCCAACCCCAAAATGCCATCAAACCCACAATAAATATAATAATCTTTGACCAAACTGACCTAAACACCCATCGCAATAACCCCACCTATAACAAAACATACCTACAAAGCCCAGCTCCAAATGTCCAGCCTAACCCAATGCTCTTCCAACCCCAAAGCAACAACTGCTGTCAATGCCTCTCGCCGGCATTTCACTCTCATCGTCAGCCACAACCTTACTTTCAAGACAACATAAAATAATCCATTAACCAACCAGCCACCAAACCTGACAAACTTTAACACAGATGTGCTGCTAAATGCTTCAATATTTTGATGGACCACAATACACATAGACACCACCAGATCCACGAAATCTTTTTTTCCATCATATGAAGACGTTGCCACAATCCTCTCCATCCGAATAACCTTAATGCAAACTTCCACCGGCCTCCATGTCCAACAGTTTGCGACCGTTAAAAAAAAAAAAAAAAAAAAAAAAAAAAAGGTTACAAAAGAAAAAGAACAGATTTTTGGCTATTGTTGCAGAATTTAAATTGTTGGGAGTCCAATTGTTGAAAAATGAAAAACATCTTCTTCGACGTTTTTAATATTTTAATGAACTTCTATCTTTACTTGATCAAACTCAAGATTTGCTCTTACGAGTTGATCAATCATCCGTTGTTTTCATGCTCGCATCTCTTTCTATACTTATTGTAGTATTGGTACTCGATGAGCTATTGAAACATTCAGATACTTTTATACAAGTAGTTGCTTCTAGCCTTAATAGAATATTCTATATCCAGGCACTTGACACCTCTTATAGTGATGAGGCAATGCATGACAACTTTTCGTTAATTATATCAACAATTGCATCTCTCATCGACAAATCCACTAACTTGTATGCTAAAAGAGTTAGGATACTTGAGACAATGGCTAATGTGAGGTACAGTATCACCATGTTGGATCTAGAAATTGAACATATGATAAATGACATGTTCTAACATTTATTTTTAGCCCTAAGAAAAACTCATTTAGGGAACATTTTTACATCCATTGAAACAATTATGACCCTTATGTTGGAAGAAAGTGGCAATATCTCTTTGGACTTGATTAGCCTTCTTTTGAATCGTGTGAAAAGAAAAATAAGGAGCTTTTCCTGTTGCAATGAATGTAGTGGAAAAGATAAATGTACTGATACAATCAAACTTATTTGTCACACTCCCTTTGTACAATGGATGAGAGTTCTGAATAGTGTATTGTGTCTCCTATCTTGATCACACCTATAGTTGATACACTTAACACCAACATAGTTGGGGAATTACCTATAGCATTGCCACTGAAGTGAAACATTGCATGTGTCATTGACATCATGATAAAATAGATATCGCCTACTCTTTTACATGACTTTCACGTTGACTTCATCTTGGTGTTAACTCAAATACATGATACTCCCAGGTTGCCACGTTATTTTTCATGGCCATTGTTCAATGATAGCATATGTTTTTATCGACATTCGATTATTGTCTACTAATTACGCTTGTATTTTGTTAACTTAAAACCTCTATTTTCCCCCTAAGAAGCATCGACATAGCACGATACGTGTCGAAATGTCGACACACAATTTTTGGAAAAGTCTCGACATGATACGTCGTTGACATGTTGATTAAAAATGTTATTTTAAATTATTTTAATTTGATACGCTAAACTAATTATTTTTTATACTTATTTTAGTGTGTGTGTGTGTGTAATCAAATAATAAATAAAAATTAAATTTGATAGTAAATTCATACAAGTTTCTTAATAACGCAAGTTCACATAAAAAATTTACACGTTATTTTGTTAAAGAATAAAGTTGGAAAGAAAAAAATAAATTAAACATATTTTAGAAATAGAAATTTTACAGTTAATGTTATTGGGCCCAACAAACTTTTTATAGATTTTTACAGTGCATCCAAGAGACTTTTCATTACCACACATCTCTTCCTTATTCCTTATTTCTTCTTTTCTTCTTTCTTCTTCCTCAATCTCCTTCTCCACAGCCATAATCTTCTTCACAGTCAGTATTTCTTCTTCCAGCCATCTGCATTTTTTCATCTTCGACACGTTGCAAGGAACTCCGACATGCATCGACGACGTGTCGGAGATGTACATGTCGAAGCCAGCAGCATGTCCGTGCTTCCCAGATTGTCTCATTTCCCAATTTTCATGTTGAGATATAACACATAATTTATTTGAATAATGAAAATTATGAGCTTTTTTGTGGCGCACAGTTTGGGTGCAAATGTGTTCATGGTGATTATTATGCTTGTTTGCGTCTTTCTTTGACCAAATTTCCTAAACACGTTAAAAATAAAATAAAATTAGATCACTCACCTGGAATTAATTTATTTGACTGACCATCACACTTAAGTTAAAGTTTTATTTTCAATGTAGCAATATTATTTTCTTATCAGGATCCATTCGAGCCTTCGATATTGCAATCATTTATTTCTACAAGCCAGTATATTGTGTTAGTTCCCTGTGCTACTCTTATGCGCAGCCAATTGAAGTTTTTGAAGATAAGTAGCATAAGTTTGTGCTTACTAGAGTTACATGTCGATACTTGGTTAAGAGAAGAGTTTTCCTTGATCATATCATATTTTTGGACATGATTTGTAGCTTCAATTGTCATCAATTTCAATATTTGGTTTATAAGAAAAATCAACTCCTTAGCATGAGCTAAGCAATATGTTGTCAAGATTTAGTTCTGACACTTGGTTTAGACAAAAGATTGGCCTCCTTGAAGTATGACGTTCCAGTTTACCGTAGTTGAGTTCTCTCAATCGGGGAGAAACGATGAAGATATAGAGAGATAAAGAGATAGAGATAGAGGTTACATATGATTTGAATATAGAGTTTAATTCAAATCAGGTTTGTTTTGATTAGATTAGATTTAATTATTCAAAGTTCTAGTTTATTAGATATTCTTTTGATTTTAGTTTCTTGCTCTATAAATAGGGGGATTATTCACTGTAATAGATATCCTTAATCAAATGAATAAAATTGATATTCTCTTGCCCTCAAATTTTCTCATTTTTAATCCCCTTTCTTTTATCATTCGTTGTCAGATTACCACGCTCCTGCATCACCTCCCCTCACCCCAGGATCTGAAACGGGTGTCTAGCCTATTCATCCAACCATTCCATATTTAATCAGTTTCATAAGCACACAAGATTACAAGTATAATAACGATCCCATCTACATTTGGATGTATACAACGATAATAAACTAAGCCTTGTTCCCGATAAATTTGGGTTGGCTACATAAATATATATTGGCCACTACATTCAGTTTATTGCCAGATCTAATGGAAGATTTAGCAACCAGGATCATGTTTCTGAAGCTTACAAAATTTAATCACAAGCAAATAAGTAATTTCAAAACAAGTACAATTTTCTTGTTGAAGAAATTGTAGACAAAACTTATTTTGAACTTTTTTTTTCTCTGACAACCGAGTTATCCAGACATATTAAATTAACAAAAAGTTACCAAAGGCAATTTTTAATCAAACATACTCTGGATTCTTAGCAACTACATCAAACAATTTTAGCATTCAAATGTACATAATGAAATAAAAATCCCTGATGAGAGCTGGGGGCTATAAAATACCATGATGTCCATATGGAGCCAATCCGCACCACACTGGAGCATACGCTCTGCCTCCGATGCCAAATTGGAAAAGTCTGAAGATAGCATAGACGGTGCAATTTTGGGTTTCACCATGGCTGTAAATGATTCTTAACCACTCCAAGACAGCTAAGCAAAGACGAGATCTATTTCTTACTTCGGTTCTTTCACGTTCCAACTCTGGAGTACAAATGAAAAAGATAAAATTTTTAATTCCTATAACACAGTATAGGCTTCTTAATTGTTTTATTACACCTTTCCTCGGTTTTCAAAGGAAACATTTGATTTGTTTACTAGGAACCTAACCAAGTAACCTTAATCTTGAGCTGTTTATGAATTCCACAGATAATGAATCCCGGTTACAAAATTTCAATCCATAAAAGTTAAACAGGAAAATAGAAAACAAGCAGGATCAGAAAACAACAGCGGCCATTCATAATCAGCATAGAAACTCAATTAACCAAAAAAAAAAAAAAAAAAAAAAAAAAAAAAAAGAAGAAGAAGAAAATCATTTAGATTACCTGGAGAGATGGCAGCTAAAATTGAGCGGCGTCGTTGAAGGAGGTTCTGCAATTTCGCTAGATTGTGAAATTGTGTGGGAGAAATGACAGAAGAAGAAATTGTGTGGAGAGGTCCAATTGGAAAGAGTAGGTAAAATTAGCCTTGTCTGTTGTCAAAATTACGTGAATAGACGCACCTACCCACCTATTTCAAATTTAGGGTTATTTATTGGATTATTAGCATAAAATGTCCAAACCTTTGAAATTTACTTTGTAAAATGTCATAATCTTACATTTTTTATTTTGTATTTTTATCCCTATTTATACATTTCGTTGCGCCAATAATCATTTTTCATTCAATTTCTTAATAAAAATATGTGAAATAACGAATATATCCTCCTACGTAAAAAAAAAAAAAAAATTATAATTATATTTCCAAATTTTTAAAAGAATTAGAAACGAGTTCCTAATAAATTGTTAAAAATTAAAAAGAAATAAAAATCACTTTCTTTATTCGTCGTCCTCCTCCTCCAGCACTACTTTCCAATTCCACATTTTCCCCTCAATTTCACACTCAAATTATTACATCTTTGCTGAAATTAGAAAAGAAAATTACTGAATTTCACTATTTTCTGCTACTGTAAATGTTTCTTGTTATTGGGATTTTTATGAATAGGTATTTCTAAACAATTTCTTGGTTAATGAATGGATGAGGGATTCAAATTCAATGAAGAAGCCAAAAATAAATAAATAAATAAAGAAGGAAAGGATTAAATCAAGAGATGGATGGATGGAGAAAGAGAAAGGAATTGAATGCATTTCTGTAATAATATTCCAAATAATTTTGTCTCCTTTCTAACATTAGATTCAACAGGTGAAAAACATTCTTCAAAACCTGAAGCTAGTGTAAAAAGCAAATGGACTAGTTCATTCCCTGAAACCATCATTGAAAACCATAACCACTAATACAAAATCCCAGATTTCAAATTAAGAACTTCCCAATCCACTGTTGTTGGCCTTGTATCTCTCTCTATGAATCAATTTCACATAAGGTATGTTACTCTATTCTTAGTCAAACCCCGCTCGTCTCTTGCACTTATTTTCTTTTCGTTCGACCGTTCATTTGATTGTCGTAGTGCAAATAATCGTCGGACATTTAGTTCGATCGGCGTCCTTTGTTTTCTAACCGAGTGTTCAATGTGCAGATGATATCTACGTGGAGAGGACGAGGTCGAAATTCTGTTGGCACATTTTTTAAGGTCAACATTAAGAATTGTTCAAGCCATAGATATGACTACATGAAACCATATTGTCTATTGTGCACGTCGGTTTCAAACTCTAGTTATGCAATCAAATGTGTTTCTGCCAAAGAAGAGAATTGGTTTTCGGGATGTAAAGAGAGTGTTGGAGGAAGAGGGAAAAATGTGTGGGTTTCACATGAGGTGTTTTTTATGTAATTTATTTATTTATTTTTTTTAATAAAAGAGGCATCCAACTCAGCATTACCCAGTTTGCATTTGTAAACATTTCTATTACCCCCATTGCTAGTGGTGGTGGTGGTGGTGGTGGAAGAAGGAAAGAGAAAGAGAATTTTTCATTTTTAATTTATTTAGGATTCATTTATACTTTTAAAAAAAATAAATTTGGGAGTATGATTGCAATTAGTCATTTATTTTTCTTTATTTTTTATTTAAATAGGAGGGTATATTCATCAGAAAGTTTTGCACAATGAACTTCAAAGGTATAGACTGTACTAACAACTCTTAATTATTCCCCCTCATGGGGTAGTTGAGTTGGTGGAGTAGGTGAGCGCGGAGGTCTTTGGTCATGAGTTCGATTCCCCCTACTAACACTTCCTCGGTTGAGTCTGTTGCACAGGACTTGTCTAGAGTGGCTTTCCTGGTTAGCGTGGTTTGTAGGCTATTGCTCCAACCCGAGGATTTACCCAGTGCTCACTCAAAGGGTAGCGGCTGCAGGTTCCCCGTCATATTAAAAAAAAACGAAAACTCTTAATTATTTGAATGGTTATTGAATTTTGTTAGGTGTTAGTACTTAGTAATTGAACTTAAAAATGTATTGCAATAATTACTGAATTTTGCCAAGTATTACTAATTCATAATTGAATTTAAAAATGCATCTAAATAGTCACTAAGGTAAACATCCTATCATCCATCCATCGACTTGAGTGATGGATGGGTAATACAGCGTATGGTTCAGTGATCATTTAAATGTATTTTTTTATTCAGTTACTAAGTAGTAGCACTTAACTTAATTTAGTGACCATTGAAATGGCACTTGACATAATTCAGCGACAATTGGGACGCATTTTTAAATTCTATTATTAAGTTCCTCAAATTGATCCTTGTGAAAGAAAAAAACCATTAAAAATGAAGGGAAAAAATGAAATAGAGAATCAGAGGCCTATAAATCAAAGAAAATAGAACTTTTGCTGATACCCATTCTAAAATAAATTGATGACATTAGTCTTCAATTGAAATTTTACTATCCAAATGGAAGATATACGATTCTAGATTAACTTTGAACGATTAGTGAAGTCATTAAATCCCCGACTGGCATATCCCCTTCATCGACAACTACCGCTTCATTTACTTAAATTAACAGATTGTTTTAGTTCATTGACCATTTCTTCTTGTTGTTTTGATATTTTTGTTGTTATGCTTCTCCTTGCCTATGATGAAAAATACGTTCGATTTTTGAATCAACTGGTATCAGTTAACCGTATCTCAAACTTCTTATAAAAAGTTTGAAAGAGAGATAGTAGAAATACTAAAATAAATTGACATTAAAAATTAAATAGAGTAGTATGGAACAATTATTTCATTCAATTCATAATAACTAAGAATATATGTAGGAGATAGTTTCACGAAACTTCTCCTCTTACACTGACGAAACCAAATGTCCAGCCTTAACCTATATTCACTTGGAGCCCCCGCGCCCCCTCTCCTCCTCCTCCTCCTCCTCCTCCTCCTCCTCTTAAACTTAAGCTTAGTCAAATCTCCTATTCCTTTTTTTTTTTTCCTTCCCTCAAGCTAGTGTCCAAATTTAAGTGCAGCACTTCTCAATGTTTCAAGCACATTCTTAGAACCCAAACCTACCTTTAGAATGGTCAGCTAAATTCCAAGTCCATTAAGCCAAGACTATAGCCCTAAAATCAAAACCCACCTTATTTATATTCTAAAAATAATTAAGTAGAAATTACATCGAACCAGATTTTTTAAGCTACCGTTTCAAAAATCACATTTAATGTTTGTTTATACAAAAATCAGACGATAATTCAATATTTATAATAATATTATAAAATTAAATTAACTTATATGCCAATCCTATCTCCATCTACCCCACTTCATTCCCCCAAACCCTAAAATTTCCATTCTTTCTCTACTTCTCATTCGCTTTCTCGTCACCATCATCGACTAGACACTAACCCTGACAGCGACGAATGCGCTTCTCATTTGAGCACCAGTAAAGTACTGGTGTTGTGAGCACCTTAATTTTGAAATGAACCATACTTAATCCCCTAAATAAGAAATTTTTCCAATATTTGACCCTTTGATAATTTATGAAAGAATAATATTTTTTGCAGTCGCTTACTGTCATAATTGTTCTATTTGACATATATGTGACTGTTAGTGATTTGATGCATTAACTTGGTAGTTTTTTTTATTGTCTTATGTATCAAATTACTAATCGTCACATATATATCACGGATGACGACAGTGGTAATGAACGACTACAAATAGTATTATTTTATATCAAAATGTAGTGTCCACGTTTTGAATTTTGGATCTAAGTATTGATTGAGCCCAATGTCATTAGGCCATCACCATAAGTTGTTTATTACATTTTAAAAAGCATTTTACATATTTTACTTCTTGTTAAAAAGTAGTAAACTTTTTATAGGTATTTAATTATAGTTTTGTTACACTGAAATCTTTGTTAACATCTTGATTGATATCTCATGGCGTGGCAAAAAATCTGACCATTTATTTGAATAAAATAATACTTGTTCAAATCAATGATTAAATTTTTTACGCATCATGAAATGTCAACCAAGACTTCAAAGATGGACGTCAATGTAGCTCTATTCATTCAACTTTAGTCCCTCTTTAACATCGATTACATCAAATTTTTTCTTAAACTCATTTTTATCACTGTCAAATATTTTCTCTTTCACACAAAATCTCTAATTTGCCCTCATTTCTACTAACCCACTAGTCTCTTTACAATTTCCAAAATAATTCAATGTGAACTCACAGCTGAATTGCAACTACTGTTTTTTAACTTATTTTTATTTTTATTTTTTATTTTAAATATAATGTTTCTAAAATCATTTTTTACACAAGTATAAGCAGTTTAAGTGAATTAGTTTTATTTAATTATTTATTTATTTTTGGAATAATTTTTCTATTATTTTTTTCTGGATTTTTTTCTTTTTTCATTTTTTTTCCGCCTATGATATCTTCTTTCTTTCAGAACGTTGCATTGAATATTTATTTATATGAATATTTATTTGATCTGTTTTCTCGGCCCGACGATTTTTTCTACCCTCAGCGGCTGCCGGCAATTCTTCTTATGCCTCTCCAATGCGACCTTCTCTACCATTTTTTGCTTGAGCTCGTTCTCTCATTTGCTCAACTTTTGCCTATAAACCACTTTCATTTGCATTAACGATGCCAAAATATCCTTTATATTTGATTCGATTCAATTTCACCATAAAACGATGACATAACACATAGGACGACATACGTTAGTTTAAGAAAGCTATACCAATCCAGTGATTCGACAACAACGATATTAAGCAATATAGCTTCAAGAAAGTTTATACCTTTGCAGAAGAATATAAATTGGAGAGTAATCAAAGGGGATGTACGTGGTGATGAATGGTAAACTCCCACCATATCCAACAAAATATATATAACCTCCCATTAATACACTACATTTATTCAAATTTAGAAATTCTACCAAAATAGTGAGACTAAAAATAGAAAAAAAAGGAAACTTGGGATAGAGAAAGATAAGCCTTTTTGTTATGAACAAAAAAAAGTAAGAAATTGAACTTTACACATTTCTTTTGCAGTATTTGGTTGTTTTAATAACTTTCAATTAGAGGGAGTGAGAAAAGGTTGAAAGGGAACCTTATGCACAATGAGGAAAAGGAAAATTTAAAGAAAGTAGTGGGTTAGTAGTTGGGGATGACAACAGGGTGGTCATTTCCAACCCCACACCATTGGATATTTTTTGTCACTTGTCCCATCTCTAATTTGTTTTTTTGATGGAGGATATTTGTGTCATTTGTATTATATATCTGTAATACAATAAATTCTTATTATTTTTATTATTATAGTTCTTATGATGATGATGATAACAATTATTATTATTATAGTAATAATAATAATTATTATTATGTGCATTTAAAATAAATTTTAGTAATGTAAAAAATAACAATTAATGAAATAATTAAAATAAGAATTAAAAAATTTTAAAAATAACAAACACTGTCATAAATTTTAATTAAAAAATTTAAAATATAAAATTTTGTGGTGTTTATATTAATTATACAATATTTTTTATATTTATTAATGAATTTAATATTTCCGTTAATTAAACTAAATTATTTATTTAGTAATTTATGTATTTGTATAATAAATAAAGAAATAATTTTTCAAATAAATAAATTATTAAGAATAAGAAAAGAGAAGAAAATGATTAAACAAGCCCTCGTTTGCTCCACATTAAATTATATTTTATTTTTCTCTTTCTTATTTTCAATCATACAATTTTTCATAAAATAATATTACACGTAAATCGAAAATTTTTCATTCTTTATTAATTTCTCATTTAAAAAAAAAATATTATTCTTCTCATTTTCATTACAAACAATGGGGGTCAAACAGGCAAATTGGTGCAAAACTTACTCAAACTCTGGTGCAGATTGGGAATGGTAACGCACCCTGTAACTTCCACCCTTTTTTGATGGTGGACCCACAAAACACCCATGTTATCTTTGCTTTGAAGCTTCAAAATCTCTCAAATGTAATTAATGAACTTCCATTTGCAGTAAGCTTACACAACTTACTGTAGTCATTTCTCCCTAATGGCACCCTTCTCTCACTTCTACTTCACTCTCCCTCTCTTTAACTATTTTTACTTTTGAAGGTAAGAGACGATTTGAAGGGGTGTTTTCTGTGTGTATTTTGGGAGAAATGGGTTCCTGTGTTTCGGTGCACAAAGACCATGAATCCGCCATGAAACTCCGTCTGTCATACGGCTCGAAAAATGACAAGCTTGTGAGTACCGGCGGGGATCCTACGGTTGCTGACATGGCTCTCAAATCTAACCCAATATACAATGTTCGTGATTTTGGTATAACATCTTCTCCTTTCTTGTAATTTTAAAGGATTTTTCATTTTTATTGTTCAGTTTCAGTGTTAAAATTAATTTCCTGTTTTTGAATTAGCAGTGAAAAAGGTAATGTGGAGTATTCATAATTTCAACCCTGTAGCTTCTTGTTATGCACAGCATTGTTCAATCTGTTTCTTTAAATAAAACACCCTTTTTACTTTGAGCGCGGGTAAAAGTTACTTTTTGGGATTTATTTTAACAATATAAGTTTTGTTAGTATAAAAGTAAATTTCAAAAATCATGTTCGTGAAAATACGTCATTTTATGCTATTTGTTTGTATCTTTGAACAGATACTCTCCTTGTGTTATTTTCTGGAGTCAGAAATTATTCTTTTCGTGTATTGCTTTGTTTTTTCTTTGTGTTTTTATTTTCTATTTCATTTTAGGGTGGGGCTTCCTTGTCTTGTTGTAGCTGGATCTGTTGACCCCAAAATCTGAATGGATGATATGGCTAACAGATCCCAGTTTCACTCACTTCCACACACCTTTCCTTTGTATACTTGGACAAATTGTTAGAGCACATTGGGGAGGCGTCTGCGAACACTTCGACAGCCAAGTCAATCTATTTTAGAGTTTGTAATTGGGTATGGGATGTGCTAAAGATGTGAACCACTGAAAAAGGGGTTCGGATCCAGGAGCATGTATGTAGATAACATTGTGAGAGAACAATGTTATAATAGTGTGTATAAAATTACATGAATTATTCTATGGGTACATTATAATGTACATAAGGGTGTCCAAAATGGACACCCGGCGCCTCCCTATTGGAGGGGCGCCGGTGCGATGTCCATTTTGGACACTCTTATGTACTTATAGAATAACCCAAATTACATTATCTTCAAATGGAACTAAGAGTGTGTTTGATTGGTATGAAAAATATCACCTAGAAATTTTTTTCTTTGTTTTGAGGAAAACAAAAACCACCTCCCCCCAAAGAAAATATTTTCCTTAAAAAAAAAAGGAAAATTAGGTATATTTTCAAAAATTGAAAAATGACGTATCAAAATTAATATTTATAATTAAAATGGTTTTTTTTTTTTTTTTTTTTTTTTTTTTTTTTTAGGAAAAAAAAAACCCACCCCCCCCCCCCCCCCAGAGAAAATATTTTCCTTAAAAACAAGGAAAATTGGGTATATTTTCAAAAGTTGGAAAATATTTTCAATGAAAAAAAATAACGAACACCCAAAGTAGGAATTTGGATGGAAAATTGATATTTTTCATGAAAAATAAATATAATTAAACACACTCTAAGCGTTAGTTTTTATAGAAGAAGAGAAGAAATATTGATCTTTGGATGAAAAGACACATGCCCTCATTTTGACGGTCGAGGCACCTTGTCATAAGCGTTATTTTGTTAATCCTAGGCTCATGTATATTAAATGGGGTTTATTACATGAATGGTTACTAAACTTTGCCATAAGTTACTACTTAATAACTGAACTTAAAAATGTATCTCAGTGGTCCCTAAATTTTGCTAAGTGTTACTACTTCATAACTGAACTCAAAAAATGTATTTCAATGGTCATTGAATTAGGCACCGTGTTACCCATTCATCATTCAAATGAAAAAATCCATTAAGTTCAACAAATGGCGTTGATTTAAGTGATGGATTGATAATACGGTGCATAGTTCACTGGCTATTGAGATACATTTTTGAGTTCAGCTATGAAGTAATAACATTTAGTGAAGTTTAGTGATCATTAAGATACATTTTTTAAGTTCAATTATTAAGTAGTAACAATTCTTTTTCCCCCCTCAAATCAATATCCGTGAAACAAAAAACTATAGAAAATGAAGGAAAAAAAGTTGAAAAATCAAATCGACTCCGCTGCGTTGACACTAATTTGAACATTTTTGTATTTTTTTAATTTTTCTTTGTCATTTTCTTTCAGTGTTCCTACTGTTTATCTTTCAATTTTTTTTGTGAAGTTTGAGATACAGTGAACTAATAATGGTTGATCTATAAATCAAACGTATTTTTCATCGTGATGGAGATTATATATTGAATAAAAGCGTAACTTTTTCCTTTCATTTTCTTTAGTTTCTTCTTTTACAGAGGTTGATTTGAGGAAAAAAAATTGTTACTACTTAATAACTGAATTTAAAAATGCATTTCAAGTGTTACTACACTTTGTCAAATGTAGCTACTTCATAACTGAATTTAAAAATGTATATCAATAGTCACTGAACTATATACCGTGTTACCCATCTATCGCTCAAGTCGACACAGTTTGTGGAACTTAACTGATTTTTTCATTTGAGTGATGGATGGGTAACACTGTGTATAGTTTAGTGACCATTAATATATATTTTTTAGTTGAGTTATGAAATAGTAACACTTGATGAAATTTAGTGACCATTGAAATATATTTTTAAGTTCAGTTACTAAATAGTAATATGTGGTAAAGTTCAGTAACCATTCATGTAATTAACCCGCATTTAATGTTCCTGATCGATTGTAGTCCTATGTCTTAGGTCTGACATGTAAGGACTTGACTTGACAATTTGATTTTCATAGAATAGCTTCTACAGTGGGTGGTCACATCAATCAATCATGGAAGATCTTGTACGGAAGATCCTTGCATCACCTCGCCTCTCCTCGTCCATGAAGGGTCGGCCCTGCCATGAGGGTACAATCCCTTCATAAGGGTTTGGCCTTTTATAGGGGTTCGACAGATTTGCCACATAGGTAAAGTGACGTGGAATGTGGGCTGTCTTTGCTCATTATGTGATTGTCATGTGGCCACTCTTGGAGCCTCTCTGGAAAAGATGTAACAAGTCTATTTAATTTGTGAACTTTGAAGGATTTTTTAATTACAAATTATAATTTTTCTTCCTTAATGATATTTACATGTAATTTGCTTGGTATATTTATGAAAAGTTGATGTTATGATGGATGAAGGTAATATATTGAATGGTGTTCATCGAGTTCACACTACCAACAGGATATAGTTTTCATGCTGATAACTGTACATAAAAATATGATAAGTAGTTGCATAATTTCTAGTATGACCGGATGAACCTCGTATATAGCACGACAAATAGTAGGGGAAATATTCGGAATTATTATCCCTTTCGGGATCAATTTTTCTACTTTTTGCATGATAGATGCAGCACAATGAAATCATATTTTCAGAGAAACAACGATATATACAATGCATAACTCGTCTAAAGTTTTCAAAATTTGTTGATGACAGTTGTAGTTTGTTTTGTTTACTTTAATGCAGGTTTAGGAGTTCTTTTTCTTTGTTTTGGGGCTCTTACTTTATATATATACACACACACACACACAATAACAGCATCGATATAAATACCGTTCTACTTTTAATGTTGGGTTAAGGATGGCACAGAGTTAGTGATATTGATATTTTTGAATAAACTGGAAAAGTGTTATATGGGAGTTAGTTAATGAATGACTACTGGATCTTTTACTTAATCATGTGATGATATTTATGTTTTAATCATTTTTCACCATGGGGTTAAGTGAGAGATGTTGAACCCTCCTTGTATACTTGTCTCTCGTTTAAAATTTTTTAAGGGTGTAGCCACTCTTATCTGATACTCGTCGACTATATAATTTTGGCAGTAGATTTGTTAGAGAAGACTACCCCCTGCAAATATACAGACCCAAAGAAATAAAAATGTGAAATGGAAAAGAAAAGAGTTTTAACTTACTTTCAACTTTCACTAATAAAACATTCAAATATTTTAGAAAGAACTTATTTACTTGTAAGTGAACTTTTTAAGCTTAGCCAAACATACTCTGCTATTTTAAAGCTGAACTTTTTAAGCTTAGCCATACATACTCTGCTATTTTAAAGCTTTGTTCTGTAAAATATGTGATACTGATGGAAGACGTGCCTTGATATCTTGCAGGTAGCAAAGAGGAAACCTTCTTTGATACTCAGCCTTGGTTAGAGTCAGATTGTGAAGATGATTTCTCTAGCATTAACGGTGGTAAGACAAGAGTTGTAATAGTAGATACCCGAAGATCTCTTGGTTCTGACTGAGATAATCCAGTTCGCTTTCAGGCAAAAGAAAAGGGGACCAACCCAGGGTTGTCTCCAGGATTTTCATTCATTAGGAATAGTTATACACAATTAGTTACTGATCTTGTCGAGGGAGTCTATTAAGTGGAATGATAGAAATGTAGCCTGCTGTTGGGGAAAATAAAATGCCGGTGACTCCTTTAGTGACAAATGCAGACATTGTGATTAACTTGAAACAAAACATAAAGTCAGGGCAATTAGTTTTTTCGAGTTTCATATTTGAATTGTTGTGGATCTTTCCTAATGGGCACATTATTAGAAGATTTAAAGGTAGAAAACTGATGTTGAGTGGAGATTGTTAAATGTCTTTTCAACCTCTACAGCATTTCAACATCAGATTCTCTAAATTCTTCTTGTTGCTGGGTATTTATTCGTTTTCATTTTTGTTATTATTGCTCTCTAATATTGTCATGTTGCTGTCTTGAATGCAGATTTCATTCCATCTCGAGGTAGTACTCCAGTCCATCACAGCTCTTCTGTAGGAAACCCTGTCTCTGTACCTGTGTCATCTCCTGCTGATAAGAAAAAGAAACTCTCTGACCTCTTCAAGGAGAGCTTACAAGTTGATCGTGATTTGGACGAACAACATGTGGTTGGTAACCTGAATGTGGATGCTGCAGAAGTGAAAGCTGAAGTTTTGAGTGTTGACCTCCCACCAAAATCTGCAGACGAGAGGCCTAATGTCTCGGGAGCTATCTTTGCGTATACAAGTGAAAGAACTTTGAATGTAGTGTTCAGACCTGAGGACAAATCAGCAAAGTCTTGCCTTCCGAGGCTGATTTCGAGCCGTAGCTTTAGCGAAAGGAGGAACAGGATGAGCCCTTCACGTAGTGTTGGTTGAGAGATAAATCGGGTTCGAAGTTTCTGCCGAACTTATATGGTGAAAGCGTGAATCTGAAAAGAACCCACTATCTCAACCGTAACACTTTTATTGGCGATATATTTGTAAATGTTAATACTGGATTGTTTCCCAAATGTTTTAATTTTTGTGTAAACAAAGTGTAATATCAATTAACAGAGGCATAACTATTAGAGTTGCAAATGGTTTTCTTTCTGTTTTTATTTAGCCAGTAGACAGTGTCTCGAAGTTAGTAGAAAATGTCGTGGTTGGCCTCTGTCATAATTTAAAGAAGAAGATGAATCCCAATCTAGCAGAATTCCCTTCTAGCATATTACTGGACTGAATGGTATTTGAAGTTGTGAAAGGAAGAGAAAAAGTTAAAACTTTGTTATGTTAAGCATCAGTGATATGGTACACCATTTAATTGGTGAATCATTAAATATATGGAACTTGTCATTAACTTATTCATCAATTAAATGGTGTGTTATGTCACCAATGTTTAACATAAGTTAAGCATAGATGCTATGGAAATAATTTCCGTATATATGTGTGTGTACACGTGTGTGTGTGTTATTTTCTGTAAGAAAATTGTAAATGTGTTAGATTTTAGAGAAAAACAAATTCAACTTTCTTAGTAAAATACACGTTCATAGAGGTATAATCTAAATAAATAAAGTTTTTCAACAATTCCTTTAGGCCATGTAACTTGTTCTCCAGCCATGGCGTCACCGACCTCTTTTATTTTTTTATTTCTTTTGTGAAAAAAAAAACTCATGGTGGTACTTCATTTTGCTTTATATCCGTGAGTTCCCTGTTTACTGATGGAAAATGTGAATGCACTGGCATGTCAATATTCTATAAATTAGACTACCTCACTGGAATGACCGCGTAAAACAAGGCAAGAAATGGGTCATAGCCTGTCCAGCTTTCCTTTCTTTTCTTTGTACACTTTCCTGCTAGTTCTGCCCTTTCAAACATTTGGCTCGAGTCGCGGCCTGGATGGTAATTCTGATGCTGCAGGTATATGTGCAGCCGCAGTTGCTGTACGTGGTTATGAGTGCCACGAGTTTGATGTAAGAAACTGAGATTATTGCATTTACACTGTCTAGTTAAATCGGCTAATGTGCAAAAGCATACCTTTCTCAGGTAATAACTGATGATGGATATATATTAAGCTTGCAAAGAATTCCCCAAGGCCGTGGTGGAGGTGGCGCTAGATTCCCAAATAGGCCACCGGTGTTGTTGCAACATGGGGTTCTTGTAGTAAGTATCAGTTTTGTGAGTCTATCTACATATTTGGCTAAGCTTACAAGCAATTTAAAAGGTGATTAGTTTGGCAGTACAGCTTTATTTCTAAACTGTAGTGGTAGTAGTACATGAACCTCTGTGTACACAGTTGACAGTCCTTACAGTCTCCCAGTAGAAGAGGCTTATTCCAGTAGTACATTAGTATCGGACAATACAGTACTTAGTTTAACCTCTAAGAAAGATGCTCTTATCTTCTTTTAACAAATACATTCAATCTGAATCTGAACCACCGTTTGTGAGAGAGAGGATCTCCCCAGGATCCATTTTCCAAAGTGATATGGGTTTTGGGATGGTGAACTTTGTGGAGAAAGGATGAATATCATTTCAAGAGCTGGTTCGAGCTCGGTCTACCACATTTCTTTTTGACCATTTGGTCTCGTAAGCCTGTCCGATGATGAGTCAGGTTTAAAGACCGAATGTGTTATTGTTTCAAGTTTTCCTATATGAAGTTATTTAGCCCATCTTGGATTTGATAAAGATTTGATTGTGAGTAAATTTCAATAAAAGCTTATAAAAATGTAGTTAAAAGTTGTGGATTTCATGAAATGTTCGGTTGAAAATGAGTTCCAGAAAAATGAGAGCCAAGAAACATTAGCTTATTTGTGTTTTGTGTGACCTGTGAGCCGGGATAGACTTATTTTGACACCACTAAGCTGGCACCAGTCCTCTCGACAGGAGTTGCAATTTGCAATTAGTGCTTGCTTTGTCACATCATGCATTGTTGATTTGTCTTGATGCTTCACGTGCTGTACAATGCCATGGAATCTAGTCAAAATAGAGACTTTGATTTATGAAGGCTAGCTAGTTGGCTATTTCTTGTACTATATTTATGTTTTTGTCCATCTTATGAATTCATAGGTTGCCTTTATATATATATACACACTTCTTTTATCATTTATTTATATTTTTGCCGAAGAAACTGAAACTCTTTGAGTGTTTAAATCTGGCCTGGGTGCAGGATGGAATGACTTGGCTTGTAAGTCCTCCAGAACAATCGTTGGCAATGATATTGGCTGATAATGGCTTTGATGTATGGATTTCCAACATCAGGGGAACCAGATTCAGCACACGACACATGACTCTTGATCCTAGCACCCCGGTATTTTTGTCCCCAATCATCTTTTTTTTTTTATTTAATAGAGAATCTAATTATGAAATAACTAATCAGACCAGTAGGAGTTAATTGTTCCAATGGTCACTAAACTTTGGTTCATGTTTTTGATAAAATGTCGAGTTTTGGTCACTGAATTTAGGTCAATATCTTCGATTATTCACTAAACTTAGATCTCTGTTTTAGATTGCTTACTGAAATTTAAAATGTCGAGTTTTGATCACTGAACTTTGGAATATGCCGTTTGTTACTCATTAGCATAATTGTTGAATTTTGAAAAATATCGAGTTTTCAATGAGTAATGTAAAACATTTTTTTAAGTTCAATAAATAATGTACAATATTTTTCAAAGTTCAGTAAGTAATGTATAATATTTTTTAAAATTTAGTTGTCAAAACTCGATATTTTAAACTTCAGTGAGTAGTCTAAGACACGGATCTAAGTTCAGTGATGAAAACTCGATGTTTTAAACTTTAGTGACTAATCAAAGACATGAACCTAAGTTCAGTGACCATTGGAACAATTAACTCGATCAGTAGAGGCATCAAAACATGGAAGCTTGGTCTAGGCATTGCCGGGTCTCCTGGAATAGCAAAAGCCTGGAACAGACAGTTGAGATTGAGCTGGGCTGTGCCTGACCTTGCTACATGGGCCCTCTTGCAAAACAATGGTTGGGCAACACCGCCTCCTACCTCCACCATCATGAGCATCACCGTGCCGGTAACACCACCACGCCCACAATACATCACCGCACCCACACCACCCATCTCACAGCATCTATATCCAGCACTAGTACACAGATCACATAAATTAGCACACATACCACAAATTGGTGCTCGGACCAACGTCGTGACGACTTCGCAATAGTCGCAGCGCTCAGATTTCCAGAGGCGAGAGAGCGCCGTGACCATACTATTGTCGCTGCACCATCACCATACCGTCAACCCAACAAAACCTCACCAACACCACCAATATCCATGCTGCACAGAGAAGCCAGCAGCGCTGGCGACGTGAGACTCATTGTGAGCGCCACCGTGCAACGGTGCTCAGAGGCGGTCAATGTGACGCATCTCTTGCTACGACTTCTCTTCTTCCGGAGCTCGGAGGTGGTCAATGTGATGAATAATTCAAAAGGAAGACGGGTGGATCTGCAGTCGCACGACGGCGATTTGTGTTCCTCGTCGGTGATTCGTGGGTTGGGTGACGACGGCAGGGGACGGGCGGTGATGATTGAAGATGAGGAGTTCTGATTGCCGGATTGGCGCAGCCATGAGCTTACAACGGGAGAGAGGGGGTGCGTCATTGTGCTGTGTGTTTGAGCGAGGGAGAGAGAAATAAAATGAATTAGGGTTTTAATGTATAGGGGGGTTTTAATTTTCGATGGAAATCTGATTTATGCATTATTAAACTTTGTACCTAGTTTTAGAATTGTGTTTTTTAAACACCAGATTTTTTGTAAATTCCTCAGAATTTTATCTTACTAAACTCAAACCGGACAGGAATTCTGGGATTGGACGTGGGATGATCTAGTGTTTCACGACTTACCAGCTATTATTGAGTTCGTGTTCAAACAAACTGGGCAGAAAATCCACTACGTAGGCCATTCCATGGTAAGATCAGGATCTTGAAAGTTCACGAACCTCCAAGAAAGTTAAAGAAAATTGTATTTATTGAAACAATGATGAATAAATTTTTACAGGGAACTTTAATGGCCCTGGCATCCTTCTCTGAAGGGAAACTAATAGACAAGGTCAGATCAGCCACACTGTTGAGTCCAATCGCTTACTTGAGCCATATGACTACAACACTTGGTGTTCTTGTGGCAAGAGCTTTTGTTGGTGAAGTAAAGATATACGCATAGTTCATTCTTTCATTCTTGGTTTATACATCATGGGATGCTAATGATATAGAAAAATTTCTACATCATTAACAAGCATGTTTCGCTAAGCTTAGTTTACAAATTACAAATATGATGGGATAATTTACTTTCTTTTACTTTAAAGTAAGGGAAGTTACTTATAAGGTAACCCTTAAATTAATGTAGTAATAAGACTTATTTCTAATTTTGATCAATAAAACATAACATATTTACATTAGTAAACTTTTTAAGCTCAGCCAAAAGTGTTTTTCTTTCTTAGAATTGTAATTTATATTCGCTTTAAATGCTTGTTTCTTCCAATTAATGTCATCTACAGATCACTACAATATTTGGACTCGCGGAATTCAATCCTAAAGGGTAAAGAACCTCGGATATTAAACCATGTGCAGATTTGTTAAAATTGTTTGTAATAACTAAACATGTGGTTTTCTCTCCTGTTCTTTAAAATCAAGGGAGCCTGTATCCAACTTTCTCAAGGCACTGTGTACCGACCCGGAGGTGGACTGTTATGACTTGCTAGCCTCTCTTACGGGTAATTATTGTTTGGTTAGGTGGATTGTGCATTGTTAGACAAAGTTTAAATGAAAAAATGAAGTTAAAATGTAACGTGCACTTACTGATGTTCTGTTCATAATTTTCTAAATGCAGGAAGGAACTGCTGTCTCAATAACTCCACTGTTGAGCTTTTCTTGAAGAATGAACCTCAATCTACTGCAACTAAGAATCTAGTTCATTTGGCTCAAAGTAAGTTCACTATTTTAACTTTGTTTATTTAGTAAATTTCTGGTACCTCCTTTATTCAACCCGGGAACTTCAGGATCCGGGATAGAAAGATTCATTATTTAGGTTGGCTGTCCATGGAAAAGTTCAGAGTTTTTGAGCAAAATAATTTTATTGGAAGAATGTATGGCTGGAAATGAGTTTTGAGGAAAAATGAGTTTTAAAGAATGTGGTTCAAATAGTAGTTAAATATAAATTTGAAGTCGGCTAGATAATTAACTCCATGACATGTCAAAAATAATTGTTTACAGCTGTTCGGGATGGAATCCTGTCGAGATATGACTACGGAAATTCTGACTTCAATGAAGAGCATTATGGGGAATCTAAACCTCCGATTTACGATTTGTCGAAAATCCCCCGTGATCTGCCCATCTATCTGAGTTATGGAGGGGAAGATGCACTCTCTGATGTAAAAGATGTGGAGACTTTGCTTGATAACCTTAAATTACATGACGAAGACAAGCTCCATGTTCAGTATATAAAGGATTATGCACATGCAGATTTCATAATGGGAGAAACAGCCAAGGATATTGTTTATAATCAGATTATATCATTTTTCAGAAATCAGCAGTAAATTTCTTGATTTTGGGCATTCGATGACTTTTCAGATCTCGGGCACGTTTGATATGTTGAATTACTGGATTGAACAAAATAAAAAACTGAAGATGCCACCTGTGAGTTATTGATGTACGTGGACAGGTCCTTGTGTGATAGAGGCAAAAACGCAGAATAAACAAATTATCCCAAAACACCCTTTATACTACATTCAACTCGTTTCTTAAAGTTTAAGTTGTTAGGCATCAGACATTTATTTATTTGTTTTTCATCTGTGTCGTTCTACCATATTCATGTATTGCATGTTAAAAAAATGGGAAACCTATATATCTTAGTTTCAAAGCCAAGTCTGCAACTCCACCTCTTGTTGAACCGCCATAATTTGATCAGGAAATTATGAACAAAAGTTGTTACAATCAATGAATATTAATTATTTAGCTCTTGCGATTAATTTTTCAGCCTAAGATTGAAATCCTTGCTCAGCAGAGATGGTGGTACTGCAAGTTGTAGTCCGTCATTGCCATTGTCTTCTATCTTCATCCACGCTGTTTTCGAATTCTGTCGCCCTTCTAATTATTAGTATTTTGGCCTCTATGATTTGGTTCCTATATTGTTAGTGGCTCATATGATCTTGGACTTCTTTGTGTTAATTTTAATAAAATGGCAGCCGTATTTTTCATTTGTAATAAGTGTTAACAATAGAATTGCAGTCCGCGAACCCGAGCTGTTAGGTGAAATGCAAAGCGACATGCAGTGGGAACAAAGAAACAGAATGTTCGCCTAAAGATTATAAACCATTTTTAATATCCACGATATTGACTGTCAGCAAAGGGCATTTGGACAAGTGAAAAAGGTGTGGTTCTTTATTGAATCAGTTAGAAGATGACCAATAAGGAGCTGTCATCTATCATTCTTTCAAAAGGACCAAATAATTTCAAAGTTTGGAGGAAAATTTATAAATACCCCCTCATTTGGAGAGGAAGACATGCAATTCAAATATCTTCATTTCAAATAGCTATATATTTTACTTCTTGCTCCTGTTTGAACATCCAAAAAAAGTGAGTTTGGGGAGTGAGAATTGTAGGGGCCTGCTTGGGGTATATGCCCCAGTATACAGGGGGGCCGAGTGGGCCACAGTGAGAGGTTGGGGGCTGACAATTGTAATTTGATGAATAGGATTTGATTTTCATCGTCAACAAATTGGTGCAGTCTGTAGGAAACTTGAACAAAGTAAACCATGAAATCTGATTACCTCTTAAAAAGTTCAAATTGTTTGAAAATGCAAGATCATGAGTGAAACTGAAGGAAAATCAAAGTAGATGAAAGCATCAGAGAGGTGAAAGTCGAAGAATGTAGCAATCGCCTACCAAATAGTGACATCAATCTTAAGGAGGCAGAGAAAGAAAACGTCAGTAGAAGCACATCCTAACATATCTCATGCACAGCATTGTCGCTTGCCGAAGAAAATATCCATCGGAAAAAATTATTAAGAAATAGCGGTAAGCTTGAAACGCCTCTTTACTGGCAAATATAGAGGTATTAGTGAACGAAACTAATCATATTAGCAGCTTTTTCATGACAACAGCAGCATATATACAAGCGTAAATGACCTATGACAGTATACTAGAAAGGCCGCATAAGTAGCATCACAGGAATAGGCCTGCTAAGGAAAGGTTTTCGAAAGAGGTCACCTCTCAGGATCTGAGGAATAGTCACCGTACTGATCGACGATTTTAATGTCTTTTAAACACCTCATATAACATTCCTCAGGACGAGGAATATGAAGATTGACCTACCAGTCGTACGAATTAGATGAGAACAATGAACACCTCTCATTCTCTAGGTAGATCAAGAAGGAGCCAATCTCGAACAAGTTTATCCGTTCAATCATGTACGAATATAACAGTAAAGGAGATTCGATATATCACTTGTGTGAGTACATGACACAAATACTATTGAAGAAGGTAAGTTTTGTCCTTAAATGCCAAGGTTTCCAATTCAGTTTAGATGGATTGGCTAAGCAGTGGTATAGCAAGTTGCCTTCGGGTTCAATCTGGACCTGGCTGTAGCTAAAGCAAACCTTTCTAGGGGCATTTGCAGGGAACTAGATGGGACAAAAACAAACCCTGGCTATGAGGCTTAATGACATGTCACAAGAAGAAGAAAAGTCCTTCAAAAGCTACTTTTTACGTTTTAATGTCGAGTTGATCGCTTGTAAAACGATTTCAGATCAAAAGACTCCTAATAGAATGAATTATTTATGCAAACTCCCTTTTGGCAGGATGTTCGCAACAAAAATTCAACCTCTTACCATCAACTGGTTAGTTTAATTTAAAACGAGATTCAGACTAAAGATATGATGGAGTAGGGACGAGTTCTCAAATGAGCACAGGCGAGTGGTAAATTTTCCCATGTTAAACAAATAAAAAAAAGAGAAAACCACTAAATAAGAAATAAAAGGAAAACTTTTCTGAGAAGCTCTAGACAGTTGGATCATGGTGTAGACCAATGTCTGAAAATAAGGGTATCAATGGTACATTAGTCATCCCGTTAGGCAAGATCTAATTTCTTCGTTTTGGTGTGTTGCTTCCATAATTTTCTTCCATTATCTCTTCATATTCTTCTTCCAAACCCCTTGTTGAAAGTCATCCGTACCCTTGTTGATCTTTCAGAAATTTTATAAAATAGGCTTTCTAGAGATCCCTAATGACCAATTCTTGCACGAATTGTTGTGGGTTTCTTTGTGAAATTTAAAACACTATGTGTGTTGTTTTTGATAGAGATGATGCAATTTGTTGAGGCTTTCTTTAATAAGTAAAGGTTTCGTTTTAGGATTTGGGCTAGCATTTGATCGCCAAACATAAAATTACAATTTTGAGTCTATGCCCTTCGATCTCGAGTTTCCTTGGTGCTTTTGGAGTTATGTTACAATTGAGTATTGTAAACTTCGTTGGTGCTAATGGTAAAAATCAAATTAACAAATTCTCTCACCTATCTATGAATTTCTCCTCCTAAACTCTTTGGTTTTGATGCTAAAACTTGGACGAACGAGAAAATAGATAGGGAAAATATTTGAATTGTATGCTTTTCTCTTTAAAAGGGAGAGGATATTTATAGATTTCCCTCCAAACTTTGGAGTAATTTGGTCATTTAGAAAAATGACAGATGGTGGCTTCATATTGGCTAGCTTATAAATGATTTTGTTATAAGTATCACATTTTCTTTATTTACCCACGTGTATTTTTATTAACAGCTTGTAGCTAGCCTGGATCGGGAAAGGGTTCGCTACCTTATGCAAACTTTCCATATTTGCGTCTTTCTCCCATGTCGCTCAATGCATCACATGTGGTGGGATAGGTTTGCGATCACTTTGCGAGGATCAACAAATGGTACCCGAAGTCTAATTTGATTATTCATAATAAATATAGGATTTGTTATATTTTATGACCTTGTGAATTTACTCGTATTTTCCTTTGTTGGTGGAAGCTTACGTGGGCTATATTGAATGGGCATTTTTTTTTTTAAAAAGAGTTAATTCAAGAAAAGTGAGTTAGAGAGAGATGCTCTCAACCTAGCGAGAGAAACTCCCACTTGGTGCACACTTTTCTTATGAGATTTTGCATTCTTTACTTGATTTTTCAAAATCTTTTATGTGAAAATCAAATTTGGTTCTTGGATTTCTGGTTTCTATCCATATTGCTGAAGTTCTATTCGAATTCATCGTGGTTCTTCTTGAAAACCGTGAAGTTTCTTGGAAGTTGAAGATTTTGGCAAAAGAACCTCAAGCTATCTCGTTTCTGCAGATTACGACCAACAGTTTGGGTGGCCGGAGCTAAGGTGGCGCTGGAAAGTTGGAGTTGGTAAGGGCGAAATTGTAGGCTGTCATTGCAATTAATCTACCTTCCATATGGGAAAAAAGACAAACAGCAATAACGGTGGACGATTACCAATTACATTTGTTAACTTACCAAATCAGGATGGTAAGATGCCAAGTACTACCTTAATTCAAGGAGAATTACCAGCAGTCCCCAAAAATTCTAGAAGATTACCAAGTGTGGCTGAATTAAGCAAAATTCTAGCTCAAGGAAAGGATAGGGACGGACTTTCTACCAACCGCACGGATCTTGCCAAGACATTCTGGCAGGATTTCGACCAGCTAATTCGAAGTCCCCAAGTTTGTCTTAGACACGTGGTGATGAAGATACCGATTCGAGTGATGGATCTACTGCAGTCGAAAAAAATAACACTTCTGCCTAAGGTAAGGAATTTGAATCCACTAAAGCACCATGGGCCAGTTTGTTCAAGGAAAATCGGAAGCGTGAGAATGGTTTTAAGCTTAAAACATGCGAAAACCTGCCAGAAATTTTGGTTTTTGAGGAATCTGATATCGAAGATGATCACACTACTTGGGGTTACTGTCTTGTTGGGTATTTTGCTGGACGTTTTCCTGGTAAAATAGCCCTCTTGAATATCAATACTTTGTCCATCAAAGTGGATGGCTCGTGTTCAAGTTTGAGAATTCTAATGATAGAGCACAGGTGCTGGAAGGAGGGCCTTACTTTGTGGATGGGAGACCACTGATGTTGAAACATGTCCCACCATTTTTTGAGTTTGATGATCATGATATAAGTACTATGTCGGTATGGGTGACGTTACCTGGGCTGCCATTGAATTTTTGGACGCCCAACGCCCTAAGCATGATTGCAACAAAGATCCAAAAACCTGTCACAACTGATCTGCTCATAACTACGAAGGGCAGATTATCTTTTGCAAGAATCTTAGTTGAGGTCGATGCATCAAAGGATCTGGTCCACTCGGTGAAGATGAAACTTCCGAATGGTAAGTTGAGGGAACAAGTGGTTCATTACGAGCACGAGCCAAAATTCTGTTCCACTTGCAAGATTTTTGGGCACAAATCAGATACATACAATCCGAAAGCTGGAACTGCTGGCCACAGACATACGGCCCCTAAGTATGTTGCAAAGATAACAGGAACACACCAGAATATTGCTGGGGGTTCGACCCAAGTTACAGTAGACAAGCAGAATAATGTTGCAATCCCAAACACAACAGTAGAACTGAACAGTGCTGAGGAATCGACTCAATCAGTTGCAGACGGTCAGAACACTGCTAAATTTCTGGAAATAACCAAATCAGGGGCAGAATCTGGTCAAGCAAACACTATTGCAAAAATATGTGCTCTAGTTAATCAACATGAGGATGATACCCCTTTTATTGAAGTGGGTAGAAAGAATAAACCTGTGAATCTAGTCAAAGGTTGGATACCAAAGTAGATTGCAACGCAACCGATTGCAAGTGATAAAGTGCAAGTACAAAATTCA